TGTATTGTCTTGGTTCATGAACTTCTGCCCTTTTCTAGCTTCTGCTGAAAAAATGGCACTGGTTTTCTAGCCAATGGCCATTCAGGAGGAGGTCAGCAAATGTGGGGTCCTGAACCAGCTTCAGCTTTGCAAATATTTTGGTGTATATTAGATGAGATGGACCTTTGGTTTGAACCAGCAGGGCTCCTTGGTATTCTTCAATTAAGTGTCATTTGTAGCATGCAACGCCTCTAACAAGAGTCTGATTCTATGCCAGTTGGTACGCTTCTTTAAGAAACATGACCTGGCCACAGTAAATCACCCATTTTCTGATAACACTTGGGATTGGCTTGGTGTAATGAGCTCTGCATGGGGCTGCCTAAGAAGCATGCTCAGAAATTAAAAATCACCAGGCAACAATTCTGATAGAACAGGGCTAGATAGAACAGTGAACTGACTTGGTATAGGGCAGTTTCTTATGTCGGTGAGCCAAGTAAAAAGGTAAAAAAATAGGTAAAGGACCCCTGGATGCTTAAGACTATGGGGCTGCAGCGCTCATCTCGCTTCAGGACAAGGGAGCTGGTGTTTGTCCACAGATAGCTTTCCGGGTCATGTGGCCAGCATGACTAAACCGCTTCTGGCACAACGGGACACCGTGATGGAAAGCAGAGTGCACGGAAACGCTGTTTACCTTACCACCACAGTGGTACCTATTTATCTACTCACACTGATTTGCTTTCTAACTGCTAGGTTGGCAGGAGCTGCGACAGAGCAACAGGAGCTCACCCTGTGATGGGGATTCGCACTGCTGACTTTCTGATTGGCAAGTCCAAGAGGCTCAGTGGTTTAGACCACAGCACCACCCACATCTAGTACCTTTTAATTATTATATCAGTTACCCAGTGCTATTTTTCTAGAAAAAGAGGTGCTGGATCTCACCATGAACACTTCCCTTGTTCTCTTATAATGGCAATGGTGCCCATCTGAGAGTCCTGGCGAGTTCTGGCTGAACCCCCGCCCCTGCATTTACCTCTAAGTAGGAGTGTCAGAGAATCCCAACAGAAACTGAAATGGAAGCAGATGGCTAATGTTCACATACTCATTCCATGTCCAGAAAAGAAATCAATCCAGTGACTACAATTGGTATTTGCTGCTGTTGCTTCCAGTACAAGGGTGACACATGATTGATTATGTCCCTACTCCTCTCTGCATTTGCATGCCATTTCCTTCTCATTGAAATGAATGGGGTAGAATGAGATAATGGCAAGGTAATTTGTGTATATTATGTAAGTTATGTAATGCTGTCACAGCGGAGGGAGAAATGAATTGGGGATCACTGGGGGAAGATGCATTGCAGTGAGATGGAAGCTTTGTTGCATGTGATGAATGCAGGGCAGAATGAAAAAACTATACAGTAGCACCTCTGTTTTCAAACAATCTGTTCCAGAAGACCGTTCGACTTCCAAAACGTTTGAAAACTGAAGCATGCATTTCTGGAAGCATTTACATCCGGAAAACTTAATACGGAAGCCGTGTGGCATGTTCGGCTTCTGAAAAACGTTCAAAAACCAAGGTAGCTACTTCCGGGTTTTCAGTGTTCGAAAGCTGAAACGTTCGACCTCTGAGACATTCGAAAACTGAGGTACCACTGTACCTTCATACATCCCTACCTCAGAGTAGACCTTGGATGTCTTGCATGAATTTAGTTCCACCCAGAGTTAATACCACTCAACTTGTAACATAAAGAATTTCTGAAATTAAAAAGGGGTAGTCAATTTGCATGAGCAGACTATTTAGAATGAATTACGCTAGAATGTGTTGTGTTTATCATATCACATTTCTTGTTCCTTTTTGTAAAAGGGAGAGCAATTACATAACTACACAAATTTGGTTCCCAAAGAGCAGATCTTTATCTAGGTCATGTGTAAGTGGGTGGGCGGTGGGGGGGGAGAAAGTTAATTGCATAGAAAGGTCAGATGCAAGGCTAATAATCATAGGGACAAGACCTCTTTAAATGATAATGAGAAAGAAGATAAACATGAAATTTCATTACCAAAGTGATAAATGACTTTTGATTGATTTAGTTTTCACAAGTCTCACATTTGGAAATGTCACATTTACACTCAAATAACCTTTCGGAGGAAACAAGGGTCTGTACGCATGTATATTTTGCTAAATGCATTCTTGCTTCGCTGCATTCTCCACGTTTGAAATTCATTATTTTGTTAATTGAAATGACAATTGGAGCACAGTAGCTTACACACAAAATGGGAAAAGTATCAGGATCACTTACTCGTTGCCTCGATGCAATGTTAAGAGAGGCTCCGCTGCTGCCTTCTCAATGGTCTTCCAGCTGCCATAGAAGACCTTTCCATTTGCCTTTAATTAGGATAGCTTTCCGTCATAATTATAGTAGTTTCATTGTAGCACTGCTTTGCCACAGGATATTTTAGCATCGCTTTAGCACAGAATATTTACACACAGGCATTTTCATCCTTAATGCGCTTTGTTAAATACTGGTGCAAAGCCAGACGGCATTAAGGTAGGTTTATAAGGGAAGTATGCTGCTTCTCCCATTTTTTCCAACTTACCTTTTTCTCGAAGAAGCTACCAGGAGGGGCAGCTAAGCTGTGAGCCAGTTCTGGCTCACCAAACCAGAGAAAATGGTTTGCCAGCCTCCAAAGGTTTATCTCCTGGTCTCTAAGGAGAAGACAGAGTGGTGATAAAATCCCGCTGAAGAGCAGGCAGAGGGATCTTTTATCTCCAGTCTTCTTCTTCTTTTCATTTTTGACTTTTGAATTTATACATTTCAATAATTTTGCAATCATTTTAACATTTCAAAACTCAACATCCTTCCCGCTCTTTCTGCGCTTCCTTAAATTTATCTTTTATATTTTCTGCATATTCCAAATTAACTTAATTTAATCATTTATTCATCTACTTTAAATATAAAACTGCAGGTTGTTGCAATCATCCTGCCAATGTTCTTATCTGTTTACAGATTGTTTATAAATATGCAATAAATCATTTCCATTCTTTTATAAAAAGTTTGTTATCTTGATTTCTTAATTTTCCGGTAAGTTTCACCGTTTCTGCATATTCCATAAGGTTTTGTATCGATTCTTCTTTCGTTGGGACTTCTTCTTCTTTCCATTTTTGGGCAAATAACATTCTTGCCACTTTAGTTGCATACATGAATAGATTTCTATACAGTTTGGGTAATTCTGTCCCTATAATTCCCCGAAGGAAAGCTTCTGGGTATTTTTAAACAAATATTATTTTAAACATCTTTTTTGTTTCAGTATGTATCATTTCCCAGTAAGCTTTAACCTTGCTGCAAGACCACCACATATGATAAAATATACCGAGAAGGCCCTCTACCTGGTTGCCTGTAACCTCATTTCCCACGGTGAGGGAACTGCCAGAAGGCCCTTGGAGCTGGACCTCAGTGTCCAGGCTGAACGATGGGGGTGGAGACACCCCTTTATGTTTCACATGTCCATATCAGCAATGTTAAAAAAAATGAAATAAAAATAAAGGCGGGGGGGGGGAGGGAAAAGTGAGCACACAAAAACTTAATTTGGCAGCTCCAATTACTGAGTAAGTTTTTACCAAGAACAAACTTACCAAGAACAAACTTAGTTGGTCTCTAAGGTGCTACTTACTGGGACAGTACTTATTTACTGGGACGCAGGTGGCGCTTTGGGTTAAACCACAGAGCCTAGGACTTGCCGATCAGAAGGTTGGCGGTTCGAATCCCCGCGACGGGGTGAGCTCCCGTTGCTCGGTCCCTGTTCCTGCCAACCTAGCAGTTTGAAAGCACGTCAAAGTACAAGTAGATAAATAGGTACCGCTCCTGCGGGAAGGTAAACGGCGTTTCCGTGTGCTGCTCTGGTTCTCCAGAAGCGGCTTAGTCATGCTGGCCACATGACCCGGAAGCTGTACGCCGGCTCCCTCGGCCAATAATGTGAGATGAGCGCCACAACCCCAGAGTCGGTCACGACTGGGCCTAATGGTCAGGGGTCCATTTACCCTTTACCTTAAGGTGCTACTGGACAATATAGATAGATAGATAGATAGATAGATAGATAGATAGATAGATAGATAGATAGATGATAGAGATAGAGAGATAGTTTCAAAGGTTATACTAATTGAACTGGGATTTGAGAGGAGTGGAACATAGGGCCTACTGAACCAGGAAAACCTCGTCCTGAACACCTACTGGTTGCACAAACACAGTTTGAAACATGAAGAGACTCATAGATGTATTTCCTAAGGTAAGTTTTCCTGAAATGAAGGAGTTAAACTGCAATCTTACACACATCTCACATTGAATTCAGTAGAACTGAGGAGACGAGTAAAGGACTTAAGCCCTTTTCTGCATCTGTACCTCCAGCATATACTACTATCGTTGTCACGAGAGCCAGTGTGGTGTAGTGGTTAAGAGCGGTAGTCTCTTAATCTGGGGAACCGGGTTCGCGTCTCCGCTCCTCCACATGCAGCTGCTGGGTGACCTTGGGCCAGTCACACTTCTTTGAAGTCTCTCAGCCCCACTCACCTCACAGAGTGTTTGTTGTGGGAGAGGAAGGGAAAGGAGAATGTTAGCCGCTTTGAGACTCCTGAAGGGGAGTGAAAGGCGGGATATCAAGTCCAAACTCCTCCTCCTCTTCTTCTTCTTCTTCTTCTTCTTCTTCTTCTTCTTCTTCTTCTTCTGGAATAAGAGAGAGCTCAGCATGGTGCACCATTGCCTGCTTGTCTCTTGGGGTTTATGACTTTTTTTTACCTTTTGAAATTCCAAGCTCATCTGCCTGCGCATCAAGACTTGCAAAACCAGTGGAGGGTATTTCTTGAATACACAAGTTCTTCTTCATGGAAGGCATCACATTTGGCAGGAAATCAATTCTAATCAACACTATTCATACATACGGGCAGACTCTGAAGAGAGAAAAAATGAGAGAGAAGCAGTGAGCAGCGCTTTACAATAAGTAAGGCTGTCTCCCAGCTAAGGAGTGTTATTTGACTAATTAATCAAATTGTATCTGCTAAAATGTTCATATGAACCAAATCCTCATTCTGAAGGAAATGGTATTTTCTATTATTATTATTATTATTATTAAATGAAAAATGTGTAGGAACCACCTTAGAAGTAATATTTCCTATTTATGAGAGAAGGAGGCACACCTCTCCTGAGATTATAGGTCAGGGATCAAAAAATCATAGAATCATACTTAAAAAATACATATTTAAATACCTATTTCAGGCTTAAACATACATCATAGAACTGTAGATTTGGAAGGGATACTGATGATCATCTCATTCATCCCCCTGCAAATGCAGGAATATGCAGCTGTCCCATACGGGGATTGAACCTATATCCTTGGCATTATCAGCACCGCGCTCTAACTAACTGAGCTATCCGTTGAGCTTGTGTTGCACGATCAACATCATGTCTGATTACTGACCAATCACACGGGTGGCGCTGTGGTCTAAACCACTGAGCCTCTTGGGCTTGCCAATCAGAAGGTCGGCGGTTCGAATCCCTGCGACGGAGCGAGCTCCCGTTGCTCTGTCCCAGCTCCTGCCAACCTAGCAGTTTGAAAGCATACCAGTGCAAGTAGTTAAATAGGTACCACTGTGGTGGGAAGGTAAATGGTGTTCCTGTGCGCTCTGGCTTCCATCACGGTGACCCGTTGTGCCAGAAGTGGTTTAGTCATGCTGGACACATGACCCGGAAAGCTGTCTGTGGACAAACGCTGGCTCCCTAGGCCTGAAAGCGAGATGAGCGCTGCAACCCTATAGTTGCCTTTGACTGGACATGACCATCCACAGGTCCTTTACCTTTACTTTACATGCCTGATTACTGACCATGCTGGCTCTTGCTGATGGAAACAAAAGCCCAACAAAATACATGTCTACTCAGAATTAAGACCAACAAGACTTTTCTTGGTATGTAGAGTATTGCAACCGTAAGCCTGCGTTTCTAATAACGATTTTACAAAAATCCTGAAATGTATTTGTAGATACATTTCCCTTCCACTGAAATGTGTTACATCAATTACGTAATTAATTGCACAATTCATGACCTTAGCTTCAGCCACAGCAGATAACGAGACAAATGACAGAGGATTTAGGAGAAGGCAAAGGGAGCTGAATGGAAACTGTGCTGCTTGTGATGTGCACAGGATGAAATAGAAATCAGTGCCTCCTTATATCCCTACCTGAGGCTCAGTCACATGGTGACCTGTGCCCAGGCTAGTCATATCACTGAGACAAGCTATAGGGTATTGCCTGTGTGTCTGAGCTTGGTAGACAAAGAACTAGCATGCCGATGTGGGTTTTACATTATTATTATTATTATTATTATTATTATTATTATTATTATTATAGATTTTCTTGATTTACAAAAGTGTTTGCAGTGTCTTTCTCTCGTATTTTTTTCCACATGTAACATTTTTACAAATCAGTTTCATTTGTTGAGACATTAGGAGGGTTTGGTGTCAACATTGCTTGTGCAGGTTCTTTGCTGTTCACTTGTGTTCCTTTGGTGGTGAGAGAGGTTGGGGTTGGTCTAGGGTGTGGTAATTCATTTGTGGTTGGCTGTGTTGGTCTTTGTTTTCATGTGCGAGTGGGGTGGGTTGGGTGTTTTGGATCAGGTTAGCCATATTGATTTGTATGCCGTTGGTGGATTTTTGTCGTTGTCTTGTTGGACTGTGTATGTGATAAAGGGGAGCCATACTGGGGTGAAGGTGTCTTCTTCTATTTGCCCCTGTTTCAGTTTCAGTTTATTGGTTAATTTTTCTAGTAGGGCTGTTTCCCATATACTATTTGGTACCATTGGTACATGCTTACTCCTGACAGGTCTCTCCGGTGTCTGGCTATGATGCTTCTGGCTGCTCAAAGTAGGTGGGTTATGAGTTCTTTGTGGTGTAAGTGGGCATTGTTGTCTTGGAAGATGTTTAGTAAGGCCAATTCTGGGGTGATTTCTAATACTTGCTTGGTTATTTTACTTATTTCTCGTATGGTTGTTGTCCAGAATAGTTGGATTTTGGGGCACTCCCACCACATGTGGAGGTATGTGCCTGTGGAGGTGCACCCTCTCCAGCATTTTGGTGAGGTTCCTGGACGTCTTAGCGATGTGGGTTTTTACTGATGCTCAGTTGCTCTGAGATCCACTGTAGTTGTTTTCTGCTCTAATTTTGGCCTAAAAAGATTATCAGTTTACATTGGAATTGGAAGTGAAAGGTGCAGTTGCTGCTTTTTAAAGTCCCGGCAATAAACACACAAACACACACACACACACACACACACACACACACACACACCCTTCTCTAAATCTACAAATGCAACATCCTTTCTTAGCAGCCCTGCAAACAAAAGCAATGCTATGTTACCGAGTGAACTCTGTGTAGGGTAGAATGTAGACTAGGACTTTTTCAATATAGCAAATAGGCTTTCAAGGAGCGACACACTCATCTGAAAGACTTAAAAAAGCAAGTGATGGCGCTTTGACAAAGTAGGGAAAATGTCTTCTGCTTCAAAGCTGAGACAGATTTCTGGATCTCTTCTTGCTATAGTGTTAAATGTCTTTGAAAAGCAATTGTCCACCTGTTAAATGTTATTGGTTTTTCTTCAACTTGCAAGTTGCAGGTGCTCTCTCTTTGGTTGAAATTATATTCCCGAATGGTTCCTTGGTTCATCGCACAAAGCAGGCATCCCTGTGATAAATGATCTAACACTTTCTCAGACAAATCAACCTCTCTCTGAGAATATGCTTTTTGTTTTACGGTGAACACTTTGAATACCTGTTTTAATTTTTTTTTAAAAAAACCCACCTTTTGGCTGGCTGAGATTCAAATGACGACTCCTCTGACCCAAATCATTTCATCATCACGTTCTGATGCTGTTCCGTACCTTCTCTGTTAGGGAGGGAAAGTTGGCATTTCTTTTACAACGGGGATCCTCTTCCTTCCATGATTCTGGCAGCTCACCTGTATTTAAAACCATATTCATAATGCCCTTTAATGATTGTCTAAGATAACCCTGCAACTTCTTATAATATGTTGCTGAAAGAATGGAAATGGTTTATTGAATATTTACAGATAAATTGTAAGCAGATAAAAACATTAGCAGGATTATTGTAACAACCGGCAGTTTTGTAAAGAGTATATATTTACAGTAGAAATTAAATGAGCAAGTTAAATGAATTTGGATATGCAAAAGGTATGAAAAAATAAATTTAAGGAACTGCAGAAAGAGGGGGAAGGAAGTCAAATTTTGAAATGTTAAATGGATTGTAAAATTAATGAAATGTATAAAATTGAAAAGTATAAATAAAAAACTAAAAAACAAGATCCTCTTTCAGCCTGAGGGCTACATTTCTTAATAAACAACTATGTAATTCAATGATGAATTACAAGTTGCGAATTAGCAAATAAAGCAAAGTCAATTGAAATTCTGCCACAGTGTAAAAAAAGGTGCAAAGTTGTATATTTATCAAAGAGAGCAATTTATTGAAGTGAAACACTGATTAGTTTTTCATCAAAATGCTATCATCTGTGATTCTACTACCTGCCTTTAAAAATCAGACTTGTACCTTTAACTTCATGTTTACACAGAAACCTGTCTAGAAATTAATATTTTTATTTTATTTTTTAAAAAATGTCTAGATTGATCATTTGGTAGGCCATGACTGCAATTTCAAATTACTTTTGGCTGTGATTTGTCTTTCATAATAATGTAGTCAGACGTCAGTAGCAGAACTGGAAAAAATAGAACGAAATGAATAAAATATATATGATGCTTGCAAAATTTGATCCTCTGCCAACTGCTTACTGGATATTCTCTGAATACTGGCATCCAATGATACTTGATTTAAATATTTGAGATTTTACTTTGATATATGCTTTCAATATTTGACACTTAACAGTTTTTTGATAATTGACTTGACATAATATTTAGACAGCATATGAAAGCTGATGTGGAATGGTACTTGTTTGGCATTTGACAATATTTGGTGGCCACAGAGGCAATGAAAATGACAGTGTGGTCCAAATGGCTGCAGTAAGATTACGGATATAAGATGGATTTGGGCACAGGCACTGGGTTTGTGCCCTGGATGAGTCAACCCTCTTACTGGCTGATATCTCCATCAGGGTTGATCCTGACAAAATAATAACCCCATTGATTCAGATCTCTTGGTGGAATCCCACCAGGATGCCATTCAGCAGGGGCACCAACTATAGGGAGCCCTGGGGGCCCAAGCACCCACAAAAAAAGTTGTGGGTGCTCAGCACCCACAAGGGCCCCTGGTGCAACTTCCAGTGCCTTCACAAAGCACTGGAAGTCACGTCCAAGGCCTTGTGAGACCTCAGAGATGCTCTCTAAGACCTTGCAAGACCTTAGAACCTGACTTCTGGTGGCACCGGAAGTCAGCTTCCGAGGCTTCCAGGCATGTGACGTCGTGACGCCATGTTGCAACTTGAAGTCATGACATCACAGCACAGGCGCTGGGCACCTGTAACCTGGGGCCCAAGTCAGCATCTCTGCCATTCGGGGATATTCTATTGTGCTTCAGACCCCAACTGGGCTTTCAGACAGAACCCAATCATTGTGCTTGCCCATTATTTGGGGACATTTTTGGTTGGCCCTAATGAAGGATCTGCCCAACTGTGAATTCTGGCATGTTCTTGTTGTTGTTGTTTAGTTGTTTAGTCGTGTCCGACTCTTCGTGACCCCATGGACCAGAGCACACCAGGCACTTCTATCTTCCACTGCCTCCCGCAGTTTGGCCAAAATCATGCTAGTAGCTTCGAGAACACTATCCAACCATCTCATCCTCTGTAATCCCCTTCTCCTTGTGCCCTCCATCTTTCCCAACATCAGGGTCTTTTCCAGGGAGTCTTCTCTTCTCATGAGGTGGCCAAAGTATTGGAGCCTCAGCTTAAACCTGGCATGCTAGGTTTATCCAAATTTGCTCTAAATTGTGGTTCCTTCAACTCAAGGATTTCTGCTTGTGTATTAGGAGTCCCACTCCACCTCTTTCCCCCCTACATATGTTCTCTGGGTTCTTCCAACCCTCTGGAGCAGATTTGTGGGAAGCATGGGCTGGGAGGAGAGATGGAGAAAATCCCACTGTGCAAATAGAAATCATTGTGCTACAAGGACACATTAGTTGCATTCAGGGTTTTGTGGATAGAATCCACTATGGAACTGCTTCTCATGGTGGGTTGCCCCAGCTTCTGGGATGTGAGACACCATCATCAATAGTGTCTGTGTCACCTGATTGTTAAACATGGCCTTGCGATTCTGACATTATGTGAGTGGTGCAGGAAAGAGAGTTGGTGTGAGAACTTTGGCATCACTGAAGTACTGCTGGAGGTTGTGAGAAGATTCCATAAACATGGAAGAAGCTGTAGTGGCATCAACTGCTGCAATTATATTCTATACTCCAACTCAGTTCCTTATAGTGCTTTTTGCAGTGCTGTGCACTCTAAGAAATTTCCTGTAAATGCATCCTCATGCCCACAAGATGGTGCTCTTTCCATTTCCAGCACAATGTAGAAAGAACTTCTACCCAGTTAAACTTTTGAGACATAAATTACTGAGGATACCTTTGCCATAGGAGCTGGTCTTGCTCCCGAGGCTAGCACATTTACAAATAATTTGCATAACATTTCCACACGAGAGATTATAAAATGCAGCACTACTTCGATAATCTCACGTTTAATATTAACTATGGAGTTGAAGTGATCATAATCCATTATCTTCTGCCAGTAGGTTGTGCAAGTATGTGTTAAGACACAGGGGGAGTGGGAGCAAATACTATTTCTGGTTTCCCATTTACTGTTCTGAAATATATATATATTAAAAAATCAGCATGAGATCAATCAGTTCTGCTGATAGAATTAATTTATGAAATATTTTTGGCCAAGCTCTCTCTCTCTCTCTCTCTCTCTATATATATATATCGGTATATGAAAGATAGCTCTATCTTATATCTGTTGTGTATTTTGCATAGACAATTTTATGAATACATTCATTCTTGGCCACGGCTTTATCAAGTGCAAACACAAAGCCCAGGTATATGATGCGCATCATAGGGGGAAAAAATGTGTCCCTATCCGGTGTAATTTGAAAGCTAGCTATTAACAATCTGTGGGCTGATGGACAATGAGAAATTTCAGCTTCAGCTAAATCGTAAATCCTTCCTTCTTAACAAACTATCTGGAGGGAAAATAAAACAGCTTATAAAAATTGGAGTGCTATCAAGTAAATAGGCTTACCATTTGCACATTGACACCCGACTGCAAGAAGGGAGGTGTGCATGTAAAGTGCCCTATCTCACAGCCTGGGATAGGCCCCAGCTTCTTCCATAGGAGTTGCCTTGCTTCACTGTGGTCAATAGGTACAGGATCAATGATGGACACTGAGATGAGGTCAAACCAGTGTGGTGTAGTGGTTAAGAGCGGTAGATTCATAATCTGGGGAACCGGGTTTGCGTCTCCACTCCTCCACATGCAGCTGCTGGGTGACCTTGGGCTAGTCACACTTCTTTGAAGTCTCTTAGCCCCGCGTACCTCACAGAGTGTTTGTTGTGGGGGAGGAAGGGAAAGGAGATTGTTAGCTGCTTTGAGACTTCTTTGGGTAGTGATAAAGCGGGATATCAAATCCAAACTCTTCTGGCTGAGGAAAGCATGATCTAAATAAATTGTACAGTGGTACCTTGGTTCTCAAACTTAATCCGTTTCGGAAGTCCGTTGCAAAACCAAAGCGTTCCAAAACCAAGGCACGCTTTCCCATAGAAAGTAATGCACAACAGATTAATCCATTCCAGACTCCTAAAAACAACCCCTAAAACAGCAAATTAACTTGATTTTTACTATCTAACGAGACCACTGACCCATAAAATGAAAGCAATAATCAATGTACTGTACTATAAAATAAATAAGACAGTATTGTAGATGATAAAAATTAAAATGATTTCCCCCCCTTACATGCACTGATGATAGTCATTGTTTGGATGGGGGGTTTTATCCATTTCCGCAGTCACACAATCAGTCAATCAGTAGCCATATAGTCACAAAAACAAATGAACCAAAAAAAGCCTCAAAAACAAAAACACAAAATAAATAGCAAAAACAAAGATCCAAACTTAATCCATTCCGGAAGTCCATTTGACTTTCAAAATATTCAAAAACCAAGGCGAAGCTTCTGATTGGTGCAGGCGCCCCGGAAACAATAGCTGACAGCCGCATCGGATGTTCGGCTTCCGAAAATCGTTCGGAAACTGCAGCACTTACTTCCAGGTTTTCGGTGTTTGAGTACCAAGGCGTTTGAGTACCAAGGCGTTTGAGAGCCAAGGTACCACTGTACTCAAAAGCTTTGCCTAAGCAGGAAGCTCAAAACTCACCTCTTCCCCAAATCCCACTTTGAGTAACATTTTAGTGGCAATCTACAGCAGCATAACATAGTTGCTAGCATGACTGAAACATTGAAACTTTTCGGCTTCCAAAAATCGATCAAAAACCAGAACACTTACTTCTGGGTTTTCGGTGTTTGGGAACCAAGGTGTTGAGAACCAAGGAGTTTGAGAACCAAGGTACCACTGTACTACCCTTTTCAGGACGAGTGGAGGGGGGCAAGCTGAAGCTGGTGATGGAAGCTGCCACACCAGTCACAATGTTGCCTGCAAAAGAGGCCAATTGGCACAAGATAATATCACCAAGGCTCTGGGTCTTTTTGGAAACTAGATGGAGGCAACATAGCCATGATTGTGACACATGCAATGCATTCAAGGTGGGTCCAATAACGGGAACAGTCATCTTTTCCCTGGGTAGCGTTCTGAACAGGTGAAGTGCATCTGATGGAAGTGCAGCTGTAAGAATGGTTTAGTTCATGGATAGGCAAACTAGGGCCTGGGGGCCAGATCCGGCCCAACCGCCTTCGAAATCTGGCCCACGGACAGTCCAGGAATCAGCTTGTTTTTACATGAATAGAATGTGTCCTTTTATTTAAAATGCATCTCTGGGTTATTTGTGGGGCATAGGAATTCGTACATTTTTATTTTTATTTTTCAAAATATGGTCCAGCCCACCACATGGTCTGAGTGATGGTGGACCGGCCCACGGCTGAAAAAGGTTGCTGACCCCTGATTATGGGCATTATGCTTCCATGCTGCCGTCGCATACAGAACATATACATTTGAACCCACAGGGCAAATTGTGCTAGCATTTACTATGAAGGGCATTAAAACAAAAGCAAATGGGCACAGCATTTATAAACTTAAAGGTTCCTTTTCTTGAGCATTCCTGAATCCAGAGCAGTAATATGCACGCATTTTTCTTTTATCTAATTCAAATTGTGAGCGTGTTGATTTTAACTCCTGGAATTTGTGTAGATATATGAGACAAGGAAATCAAACAAAACTAATTAATTTAGTGAATGTATTTTATTTCCAAACTTCTTACCACCACCAGTAATTAATAGCACTTCATTTACACTAATGGGATAAGCATACGCAGCAGTAGATATTGAAAATCTTTTACAAGTTGTGGAATGTAAGCACGACCCCCTCCCTCCCTCATCGTCGCACATGCAGAGTTTTCTAAATATAGACTGTTGAGTCAATTAACTGTTGTGCGTTTAACTGATTCATCAATTAAGCAATTAAAAATTGAAATCCACTGCTAGCTTTAGCACCTTCTCCTGCTTTTGTCACTGTAATTCTACTGCACTCTTCAAAAATGACTGCAATAGCCGTTTCGCACTGGGTTCATTTTGCAGTTCTCTTTTCTATTGAGGTCTCCTTCCGGGGCCATGCTTTTGAATTCCCTTTGCCTTATGAAAAATAATAACACTAACTTCAAAAGTGTGCACGCTGACCTTCAGTTTGTTGAACCCAAAAGCAGCTTGCAGGCACCAGAGGACGAGTTCACAAAACACCTCCTTCTCCAGGGATCTTAAACTTAAACTGAACCTTTTTGTATCCCCCTTCCCCTCTAACCATTATTTGAGAGTCCCTTGAACTTCAGCTGGAACAGAACCCTTAAAAGAAAAAAGTTCCAAGTGTTCAAAAAAGTAAAGTAAAATAATGACAGTGTGCATTCCAATGATTGTCCCAAACTAAAATGAATCGTGAGCATATATAAACCTGGACAGGTATGATGTCGGGTTGTTGAAGTGTCTGTAAAAAACTCAATCTGGGTTTTTACTCTGCCTTTTCAAAGAAGAAGAAGAAGAAGAGTTTGGATTTGATATCCCGCTTTATCACTACCCAAAGGAGTCTCAAAGTGGCTAACATTCTCCTTTCCCTTCCTCCCCCACAACAAACACTCTGTGAGGTGAGTGGGGCTGAGAGACTTCAAAGAGGTGTGACTAGCCCAAGGTCTTCCAGCAGCTGCATGTGGAGGAGCGGAGACGCGAACCCGGTTCCCCAGATTACGAGACTACCGCTCTTAACCACTAATCCACACTGGCTCTCCGTTTTGGGTGCTCTCCGTTTTGAACTGTTAGGAATCTGTCAGCACAACAAATGCTTTCTGTTTTAAAATTGGAGCCAGTCTACTCTGGGAGAATTTGAAAATGGAAAACTTGGGGTATGACACTTTTTGGCTTCTTCTGATCGGGTAGCATCCAGAAGCTATAGCCTTCTCATTCACTTGAGAAAGAGCGATCTCGGCTCCTTGTAGCAGGGGAAAAGCAGGGTCAGCCCTGTTTTTAAAGTAGGATGCTTCAGTTAATGGGATTTAAAGGGATAAATAAAGGCAACAATTGATGTCTGAACAGCATGGCAAGGCTGAAAAGTATTGGTCCTGTTGTGACGGCAGGGTGCCACTTTGTATCCTGCCTCAGGTTGCTAAATGTCTTGCTCTAAGATTGGTGATAAAGGGTGTTGAATTTTTATGGATATATATACTTTTGCCATCAAGGTACTTGATCCACTCAGAGATCAATGCCCAAGTAACAGGGCTGTATTCTGCCAGGAATTGGAGGTTAATGCAAATGCCTTAGTGCAAATCTGTTCTCTGGAGCTTACGAAGGGGTAAAAGAAATGTATCTTGCACAGTGTCTGGGCCACAGTTCTTTAAAATTTGTTTTCATGATTCAAGATTGAATCCTTACATAGGAAACAAATTCTGAGAATAAGCTCTAATGGTGTACACTCTCTCACCTATTTGCTCTTTCTCTGTCTTTCACTTCCTTTCTGCAGCAACCCCCAGCCCGTTCTTCCTTTCCACTTCTTCTTCCTGACTAGAGATGGGAAGGCCTGGAAAACCCCCGGAAAAAATGGGGAAAGACCAGGTTCCCCCCCTTCCATTCCCCCCTCCCTGGAAAAAAACGAAAAACAACAACAACAACTGTTTGCTATAGTTTGAATATTCCACACACTCCCCCCCTCAATTCCACCCCAAAGGGCTTTGGAAAAAAACAGGGGGAAAACCTGTCCCCCTTTTTTTTTGCTTTTTCCATGCCTTCCCCCATTCCTTCCTTCCTTCCTCCCTCCCTCCCACTTGTTTTACCACCTATATTCTATTGTTTGCATGTTACAAGGCCAGCATCCTCTTAATATGAATATCACCCCATCCCTGGTATTAATAGATTATAATTAGTCTGCTTAGGTAAGATGACTCTTAAAGTCCAATCTCCCATTTCCAAGGGTAAGATTCCATTAGGAAGAGGATGCTGTAGCTGCCTAAAACTGGGTAGGAAATAAAGTTGTTGGGTTTTTTACCCATGTCTTGCTATTGGTCTTCATCCTTAAATCCTCTTGCAAAGAACGTGTGTGTCTCAGGCCTGATCACCTTGGCACAAGCAACAAGGATGTTATTTCAAAGTTAACAATGCAGTTCTGATTTCCAAATTGGGCGCTAGCATACTCGGCTGTAGAGGCGACAGAGTTTGCCAGCATCATCCTGGTTCTTGGTCACATTTCTCAGAGATGGGAGGTGGCAATATGACTGGAGAAAGCATTGATGACTAGGTATCTAAAAACAAGTGGGATGCAGGTGGCACTGTGGGTTAAACCACACAGCCTAGGACTTGCCGATCAGAAGGTCAGCAGTTCGAATCCCTGTGACGGGGTGAGCTCCCGTTGCTCGGTCCCTGCTCCTGCCAACCTAGCAGTTCAAAAGCATATCAAGTGCAAGTAGATAAATAGGTACTGCTCCGGCGGGAAGGTAAACAGCGTTTCCGTGCGCTGTTCTGCTTTGCCAGAAGCGGCTTAGTCATGCTGGCCACATGACCCGGAAGCTGTACGCCGGCTCCCTCGGCCAATAAAGCGAGATGAGCGCCGCAACCCCAGAGTTGGCCACGACTGGACCTCATGGTCAGGGGTCCCTTTTACCTTTACTTATCTAAAAACATAAGAAGTGTCTTGCTGGATGAGACTAAAGGCCCATCTACTCCATCATCTGATTCTCACAGCTGGCCAAGCAAATGCCATGGGAAAGCTCTGAGGCAGGAAAGGAATACAACATTACTATTCCCACAACTACTATTCAGAGGCATATTGTCTCCACATTGGAGGGAGAACAAAGCCATCTAGCCTAAACTGGAGAAGTGCAGGGAGCTTTTTTTCACATGTGGTGGACGTGTAAAAAGATAAAAGTGTACAGTGGTACCTTGGTACCTTGGTACTCAAATGACTCCCAAACAATTCAGCTCCTAAATATCACAAATCCAGAAGTGAGTGTTCCAGTTTGTGAACGTTTTTCGGAAGCCAAATTCCTGATGCGGCTTCTATGGCTTCCAATTAAGTGCAGGAAGTGTTTGGGGAGTTGAACAGACTCCCAGAATGGATTAAGTTTGAGAACCAAGGTACCACTCTATTGGGAAATGATTTATAATGAATTGAAAAAAATGTTTAAAACTACTCCCCCCCCCAAAAAAACAACAACACCAAAGTCCTTTTTGTTGGGAATAACCCAGAATGAAATTCCTAGGTGTCAGAAAATGTTATTTATGCATGCAACAACTGCACTCCATATTTTGTTAGCCCCAAAATGAAAATTGAGTGAGGTCCCAACTAAAGAGGATTGGCAACTTAAGTTGCAGATTTAACACATAGAATAAGAGAGCAAGAAGAAAATACATTTAAAGAAGAGTGGACAACATTTATTGAATATATGGGAAATCATTGTGCACAGCTGAAAACGCCGGTAGCACTAAGATAAATTCAACAGAGTAAATAATTTTTGATGGATGTAAAAGTGGAAAACTGATTTGAGTGGTTATAGTAAAATATGCAGGGATGTATGATATGCAAAATGAACCATGGAAAGAAAAGAAGGGAAGTTATTGGATATTTAAAAGTTTGTAAAATGTTCATTTGGAAATGTAAAATTTAAAACTTAATAAAGATTATTAAAAAAAATAGAAGACATATGAAGGCAAAATGAAAATAAACTGGAGAGAGGTGCGAGCTGGGGAAACATGCTTGGGATGTTGCCTGATGTGTACAAATTGTTCCTGGTGTCCCAAAGTATTTAGCATGCTGTTGTAAGACTGTTGTCCTGTGTAGACTCAGTAGCGCACTTCCTGAAAGAACTGCAAAGGGAAGTAAATCTGCTTTAAGGAGGAAAAGTGAGGGTGAAGGAAACAGCTGCCGAGTGCAGTTGTGTGAGTCAGAGCCACAGATTAAACCTAAAGAGAAGAGAACCTTGGATTAGTAGAACTTGATAACTGAGTTTGGAGAGATCGTGTTTCAACTGCCGGTAGGCTTGTTGGCAGTTTACGATAACACCCCCACCAGCTGTCCTCTTTAAACTTGAACCAGGGCTCCATCTGCTTCACAGGCTTTGTTGGGTAAGATCTGCTTGGTGATGTGAGTCTTTGGCAAATTTCTGGTCTCCCCAAAGGGCACAGGAGATTGGAACAACTGGCAGGGAAATCCCAAGCAGCAGATGGCAAATGAGACATTTATGATGACCAATACATGTGAAAACATGCTTGGTTGTTTGCTTGTTTATTGGAGAATGCTTGGCTTCTTTGACAAGCAGGGGGAGAGAGAATGTTTGCTCGGCGCCTCAGTAGATGCAGCAGAGCATATGATTTCAGGATCGAGATGGTTGAAATCACAGATATTGAAGTTATCGTATTTATGAGGCATGGGTGTCCATAACTAATATTCAGTGGCAAGAAAATGTAAAATTAAACAGTTCCTGCATTTGGAGACTAGAATAGAATCCTGTGTTATGACACAAACACAGTAGCAAAGCTTTATTCACACATGCACACGATCCTGCTTCCTTGCTCTGTTTACATGTGCTGTATGGAAATAATGAATCGGGTGAGAAAGGAAGAAGAATGGCTTTCATTTCAATGGTTCCTCCTCACTTGTATCCTTAAACCTGCTCTTGGTTTTCCCTTAAAGATCAGAAAAGCCCCATTGCATGAGCAGACTTCATTCTACTTGTGCAACAACTTTCTTTCTTTCTTTCTTTCTTTCTTTCTTTCTTTCTTTCTTTCTTTCTTTCTTTCACCTCCTTTTTATTCCAGTGATCTCGAGGTACTGTACATGGTTCTCTTCCTCCCCATTTCATCCTCACAACAAGTCTGTGAATGTCAGGCGTCAGAGGATCCAACCACCCACGGTAGGTTGCCAGGAAGGATAAAACCAGGAAAGTCCTTACCAATGTTTTTTATTCAATATTCACAGAGAAAGGCTTAGAAATGCAGCTACTTGGAGTAATGGCATTGTTCTGAGTGAGTCTCCACCCCCTCCCTCTCTCCCATGATGCATCACCACTATGGGTGCTGAGATGTGTCCTTTGCTTCTGAGCTCTCTGCTCGCCTACTTTCAGTGCCCACCAGGTTCTGGAAGAGGGGGTCTGTAATGCTTTCTAAAGACACTGTGTCCACCAGCTGTTGCTTCTCTGGTGCTTCCCATTATTTTCCATCTCCCCCCCCCATCTGCCTCTGAGCTGTGATCTCCCTAACCCTTGTTGTAATTCTGAACTGCCTTCTTCTTCTCTGGAAGGGTCAGGCTGGGGAGGCGGTCCTCCACCATTCCTCCTCTGCCCAGTCCCTGACAGTGAGGTGGGGTAGGCTGAGAGGTGATGACTTGCCCAAGGTCACCCAGTGAGCTTCATAGCTGAGTGGGGATTCAAACCCTGCTCTCCCAGCTCCTAGTCCAACACTCTACCTGCTATGACACCCAAAATATTCCACTCAGTTGAAATATTCACCAGTTGAATTCCACCCAAGATATGGAGGGTCATAGGTTCACTGATCTAAATAGCACACCCTTCAGATCTGGATTCAAGATGCTGTCCCAACTTGGCCCTGACATTTTCTGGACTTACATAATTTTCCTCCAAGTTGGTAGGTATGAGTTTATAAATAGGAGCCTCTAAAATCTCTCTTCGGAATAACATTATTTGGGCAAAGGGCAAGAGAGTGAAAGGCAATTTCTACAGTGGTGAAGATAAATTGTTCCTTTCGGACATTGTCATTGAGGTCTCTCTTCTTTCCCCTCCCGAAACTGATTCAAATTTCAACAATGTCTTTAAATTTAGAATGGCATTATTCAGTTCTGTCTTACATTCTTGACTTATTTTGGGGTTATTGCAGGTCCTAGGGACTCTGAGCAAGCTCGTGCTGTGTGTAAGATATTGCACAGGCCACCATAAAAGACAGCGTTACCTCTAAGAACATTCTCCAAGGAACAAATTAAGCGAGAGTGCGTAAAGCACAGGTTCTTCCTTCTGTTTGAAAGTAGAAAGCAGAGGCAAGAATAGAGCTTCTACAAAACTGCCAAGTTGCTGTACAAAATTCCTAAAGCAGATCCAGCGCTAGAGACAGGTAGGTAGGCATGAAAAATGCAAACGGGCTGTTACAAATGAATATACCTGGTTGGCCAGGAAAAGACAAAGGCATTCACAAGCATTATGGGTTTCTGGAGAGCCCTGGAGCACCTAAAATGATAGCAGATTTATTGTGGCATAAGCTTTGTAAACCCATTTGGTCAGATAATGTTCCACGTAACTTTGCGGGTAGCACTTGGTCTAAACCACCAAGCCTTCCACCTGTTCTGTAGAGACCAATAGAGGAGGAACATGTTTTGTTGCACCTGGGGTCAATGAAGGTGTCTTGTTGTGTTGCTGCAGATGTACCCACTGCTGCCAGAGGAAACAAAAGTGGTTCATGCAATTATTGGCCGCCAGTGCTCATTTTGCATCAATAGGTATTGTTAAAACATCACAATGGACAATGAGAGAACCTATCTGTCAGGATGCTGTCAGGGGCTCCTGGCTGGTTGCCCAGGAAAGTATAAAGACAAGGAAAAGTTTCTTACCGTCCTTTTTTTGTTTCAGTCTTTGCAGAGAGAGACTATAGAGCACAGCCTCTTGATTAATAGCATTGTCCTGAATGAACCTCCACCCCACTTCTGGAATGCTTTCTAATGACAACGTGTCAGCTGGGTGTTGTTCTGGCTTTCCCATGATTTCCCAACTTTCCTCCTCATCTGCCTCTGAGGTGCTCAAACCCCTGTTGTAAATCTATACTGTCTTCCTCTTCCTCCTTCCTGGGTCATCATTCTTCCTCTGCCCAGTCCCTGACAATTAGTTTTCTTTAACAGTGGAAGCAGGTTTTCAGATGATACGCAGCTCTTCTTCAGGCTTTGATTATGAGAGCAACAAATAAACATCCAATAGAAACAACTGGGTAGTCAGGCTGATGGTTACTTGGCTGCAGAGGTTTACTGGCCATTGCTGTTGGCATGGAGATAGTCTAGGTTGAATGCAAACAGGCCATTCCGATGTCATGTGTGATGTCACAAAGAGGATATGCTTTAAGTCTTGGTAAAGCCAGAAACAGTTTACAATCAGACTGCATCTCAGCCCTGTCAAGATGGATCTCTATAACAGGTGATGAATAGTTTTATTTGGGGGATATATTAACTTTTGCTATTCGAGAAAGCTTTTAGATTGGTTTGCCAGTTTGTACCCCATCAAGTTGAGGCTAATAGATATACATTCACAACTCTGTACCTATCAAATAATCAACTTTATGTGTGACTTTGGGACTGATTCATACAACTACATTTCCTTTCTCCACTCTATAGCAGCCTTTTCTCTGTATTTGAAAAAAATAACCAAGAAGGAGAAGATAAGGAACCAGGAATAAGATCTGGATGAGTATGGTGAGGATCTAAGCTTTACAAGTGAGGGGCCGAGGAAGATGGCTTTGTGGTTCAGCATAGGAATGATAGGTGCTTCATATTATTATATTCCTGTTCCAAAACGAAGAAGTCTTTGAGTTCTTTGCTCTCCTACTTTTAAGGCTTGCTGGGTTCTGGGTGATGGTGGGTCTGGAATGCTCTCTAGTGACAACATATCAGCCAGCTGCTCTGGCTCTCCCATGATTTCCAAACTTTTCCCCTCATCTGCCTCTGAGCTGCTACCTCCCTCAACCCCGTGTTGTATATCTATACTGTCTTCCTCTTCCTCCTCCCTGGAAGGGTCAGGTTGGAGAAGTGGTCTCCACCATACTTGCTCTGCCCACTCCCTGACACTATCACACTCATTTAGCCCATATGAACTTGTTATAATTATGACCATCAATGTAACAAGGGAAAACCACTCAGAGAATTGTTCTTCAGCTTATTTTGGATAAGTAATTTCCGATCTCCCAAAATTCTTTGGCAGATTCAGATACATTTTTTGGGGGGGGGGGATTAGAATGCCTAGTTCCTGAAGTAATGCACAAATTGAAATGTGGTTGTTCTATGAAATTCACAGTTCTTGTGAACTGTGGCTATCCAGCAACAGAAAGAAACACGGAGATGCATATATCAGGAGAAAGCGAGTATATCACTGAAGGAACAATATAAAAATGCATTAGGGACAACTGATGATGAAATTTACATTAGGAGAATTACACACTAAAATACTGGCAAATCACAAAAAAATAAAATAAATGCAAACTAATGTGGAACTGTGGCAAACAGAACCTATGGGTGATTATTAAAAATGTGAGAAACCAAAACGGTTTCATCTCTCCGTAGCATCAAGTAGAATCTCCACATTTGCTTCCAAAGACCAAACCAGTCTCCCAAAAATTGTCACCCTGTTTACAGGCAGTGAAATTGATAATACCACTTTGTTCAATATTCTTTGGGAGGAGGAGAAATTCTCTGGCAGTTTCTTAGGAGCCAGGATGCTCATCTGGCATTCAAAAGCTTTCTCTCCCCCCCCCTTTGGTGTTGTGATGGCAATGATATTGGCAGCATAGCCATCATTTTCTCTCTACCCATGCTCCAATCCAAGCATTGTTTGGAGGTATTTCAGGTGGGGTAGGGTGGTGCATGCCCCACAAAAATGGTGGAAAATATGCATTCAGCAAAATTCCTCCCTTTTGGGGGAAATGTTGGCTTAGTTCTAATGGACTACATAGCTGGGTTTGTCTGGTTTCTGAACTGCTGTGGCTCTCCCTGGTATATGTTCGGAGAGTTTACAGATTCTGATTTATGGTATGAAATGTTTTTATGATACAATAATCTTTATTGTCATTGTCCCATACAGAACAATGAAATTGAAAAATCTACATAAGACATTAAAAACCCAACAAGCCTGCTATCCCAGCTATCCCAACCTGGTTAGCCCCTAAAAACTCTGATGCCCCATTTTTAAATACAATATACTCCCATACAGACTCCTTACAATACGTTTAAAACCAAAATCGCATTTGGGTAGAAACTGTTTCTCAGGCGGCTAGTCCTAGTCTTTATAACTCTGTACCTTCTTCCATAAGGCAGAAGCTGAAAGAGATCATTTCTGGGGTGCGCACTATCCTGTGCTATCTCTGCAGCTTTCTTATGGCACCTGGAAGCGTAGATTTGATCCAAGGTGGGAAGAGTGCACCCAAGTATTCTCTCTGCAGTCTTTACAACCTTGGACAGCATTGTTTTTTCCCTGACCGTGCAGCTCCCAAACCACACACACGGACCATAAGTTAATACACTCTCCATAGTACAATGGGAAAATGCCATCAACAGGTCCTTTGAGAGATTGTTTTTCCAGGGGATTATCAGAAAATATAACCTCTGCTGTGCTCTCTTCATCAGGTCTTAATGAAATGAAATGAAAGCAGAGCTTTCCAAACTTTTCATGCTAGCCACACACATTTTAGACATGCTTCATTTTGTCACACAATAATTCAGTTTTACTAGTAAACCAGAGGTTCAACTAACTGCATTCAAGCTCCAGGAGGAGAACGGGGAGCGTTCATGCAACATGCCTGTGCACTGCAGCCAAGACACTAACGTGTCATGACACACAGTTGGGAAAGCTCTGCTGTCCATTCTGAAAGTGGAGGTTGTGCATTCTGCAAAGTGTTCTCCTGTGCACTTATCTTTAATTTAGCACTAGCACAACTCAGAGGTGAGGATGGCCAAATGCAAAGAGGGCAGGGAAGGTGTCACATGCAAAATTCCCCTCTTCTACACAGCCATTAAAGATCCAAGAGCCTTGCCCTCTTTGGCATGTGCCCACCCTACCTGTGATGTAAAATAAGTGTTATTCCCATTTCACAGGTGTGGTGCTGAGTCCAAGGTGGCGACTTGCTCAAACCTGCTGGGGGATGAGTGTTGCATTTGAATTCTGATCGAGGCTTAGAAATGCCAATGTACGATTCATTTGATTATCTTATCTTTGCTGATTTTCAGCCTGCAGTTTTGAGTGGGTATCATCACAAATAAATGATGTATTCAGTTACTGAAAACCAGGATAGGAGGGATGCGGGAAATGACAAAAGATGAGCAGCTGTGATATAGCATTGTTTGCTTTGCAGCTGACCAGCTGAGATTTTGGACTGACATGCTAAAAATTTGGATACTATCAGCATTGCTGTTCAGTTTCTAACTGTTGGCAAAGATAATGATATTCTATGATGCTGAGAGCTAGATTCAAGGCTCCGATACCTACAGTGTAATCTAAACATATCATACCCTCCAAGTGTCCCTATTTTCCAGGGGCAGTCCTAGAATTACAAAAGCTACCCCAGCTTCTGATTTGATCCCGAAGTGTCCCTGTTTCTCCCACCAGTGCCTCTGCCAAGCCCAGAGAGGAGGATGAACTGGTGTTTGTCTCGTGTGGCAGCAGCAGTGAGGGAGCATTCCATTGCCTCTCCATGACTGCTGCTGCCAATCTCCTCCCTTGGGCATTTCAAGGTGGCTGCTGAAGAGCAGACAAGGAAGAGGAGAGGCTGCCACCACAGAGGTCCAGCCCCACATGACACACCTGCTCTGAGCCAGGAAGAAAGGGGGAGCAGAGTGGAGCGCAATGAGCCTCTAAAAAAACACACAACTTTATATGTCTGCATCTAGTCTTGCCCCTTTCTCAAATTTATTCATCGGCGTGTGTCAGGATGCTGTCAGCAGCTCCCAGCTGCTTGCCCAGAAAAGTATAAAGACAAGGAGAAGTTTATTACAGTCCTTTTTTATTTCAAACTTTAGAAAGGCTATAGAACCCAGCCTTTTGGATAATAGTGGTGTCCTGAGTGAATTTCCACTCCCCCGTCTTTCCAATTTCCTCATTCATCATCATCATCATCACCTTCTCTAGGGGTGCTGCTACGTGTCCTCTGTCTTTGAGCTCTTTGCTCTCCTACATTTAAGGCTTCTAGGGTTCTGGGAGATGGAGGGTCTGGAATGCTTTCTAGTGACAACGTGTCAACCAGCTGCTGCTCCAGCTCTGCTTCCTCCTCCTCTCTCATTATTTCCCAACTTTCCCCCTCATCTGCCTCTGAGCTGCTACCTCCCTCAAACCCCTACTGTAAATCTATACTATCTCCCTCTTATTCCTTCCTGGGAGGGTCAGGATAGAGAGGAGGTCTCCACCATTCCTCCTCTGCCCAGTCCCTCACAATTAGTTTTCTTTAGCAGTGGAAGCAGGTTTTCAGATTATACACAGCTCTTCTTCAGGCTTTGATTATGAGAGCAAAAAATAAACATCCAGTAGTCTAGCTAGAAACCACTGGGTAGTCAGGCTGATGGTTACTTGGTTGCAGAAGTTTACTGGCCATTGCTGTTGGCATGGAGATAATCTAGGTTGAATGCAAACAGGCCATTCTGATGTCATGTGTGATGTCACAAAAAGGATATGCTTGAAGTCTTGGTAAAGCCAGAAACAGTTAACAGTCAGACTGCATCTCAGTATTGTCAAGATGGATCTCCATAACAGGTGATGAATAGTTTTATTTGGGGGATATATTAACTTTTACTATTGAGGGAAAGTTTTAGATTGGTTTGCCACTTTGTACCCTATCAAGTTGAGGCTAATAGATATACATTCACAACCCTGTACCCATCAGATAATCAACTTTATGTGTGACTTTGGGACTGATTCATACAACCACATTTCCTTTCTCCACTCTATAGCAGCCTTTTCTCTGTATTTGAAAAAATAACCAAGAAGGAGAAGATAAGGAACCAGGAATAAGGTCTGGATAAGTATGGTGAGGACCTAAGCTTTACAAGTGAGGGGGCTAGGAAGATGGCTTTGTGGTCCAGCATAGGAATGATGGGTGCTTCATATTATTGAATACCTGTTCCACAAAGAAGACTTTGAGCTCTTTGCTCTCCTACTTTCAAGGCTCACCAGGTTCTGGGAGATGGAGGGTCTGGTATGCTTTCTAGTGACAACGTATCAGCCAGCTGCTTCTCCTGCTCAGCCTGCTCCTCCTCTCCCATGATTTCCCAACTTTCCCCCTCATCTGCCTCTGAACTGTGACCTTCCGCAAACCCCTGCTGTAAATCTATACTGTCTTCCTCTTCCTCCTCCTTGGAAGGATAAGGATGGGAAGGCAGTCTCCACCACTCTTCCTCCTCTGCCCTGCCCCTGACAGCATGTGTACTTCTTTATGTAAATCTACCATATAATAATAATAAAAATCAGGATTAAGGTGTTTTCTCCGGACAGTGGAAGGCATGTGTACTGTGTCCCATTAATGAAGTGCTGGTGGTGTGGGGAACATAAAGTGGGGGGTTGAAGAGTGTCAGTTGAGGGGAATGACAAATGTCCCTATTTTTATGTCTTGGAGGGTAGCACATATTTACTCACTAAACAAATTCAAAAATGCTTATGTGGAAGTAAATTTAGTGGTAAGGTAAAGGACCCCTGATGGTTAAGTCCAGTCAAATTTGACTATGGGATGTGACACTCATCTCTGTTTTCAGGATGAGGGAGCTGGTGTTTGTCCGCAGACGGCTTTCCGTGATGGAAACCAGAGTGCACGGAAACACAGTTTACCTTCCCATCGCAGTGGTACATATTTATCTACTTGCACTGGTATGCTTTCAAACTGTTAGGTTGGCAGGAGCTGAGACAGAACAATGGGAGCTCACCCCATCATGGGGATTCAAACCGCTGACCTTCTGATCAGCAAGCCCAAGAGGCTCAGTGGTTTAGACCACAGCGCCACCGGCTCCCATGTTCCTCAAAGTAAGCTCCATCGAGAATGGTGGCACTTACTTCACATTAAATATATACAGGATTAGGTTGGTCAGTAGCAGTGCAATGCTGTAACTGCCTACTCGGTGATCCTGGGCTATTTATTTCCAGGCCTGATGTTTCCCACTCTTCTTGGAGTAGGGGGAAATAAAGCCATCATAGTGATTGGGCAAATATGACTGCCCTGAACTGCTGGGATTTAGAACAAAACTGCCAATCAGCTTTCAGAAGAAGTAGCTTGTTTTTGCCAGTATCCCAAGGGCATTGCTGCAGCTGTTAGTTGCATCCCTCTGCTGATCCCATGGCTTCTCCAAGGAGTCTTTCTTCTCCCAGCTGTAAAGAGTGAGAGAAAAATCTCAAGGCATCATTTCCTGCCGGATAAAATAGTAATTTACAAAGGAGAATCGGAAGGCACCTGAAGAGCGATTGATAGAGAAAATTATTTATCACAGCCTTAGAATATGTCTGAAGTCTCTGCCTGATTCCCCAAGCATCTGAAAATATTAGTCTGGCACTTGAGGTTCCTCATCCTTTGACAGCTCAGTGTCTGTTTATGCATAATAAGTCTTCCTTGTGCTGTATGTTCACCTTAAGTAGGGAGAAAACTCGATCCAGGCATGCATCATGATTTGCTTCACCAGGGACATCATCTTCTTCTTTTTTAACAGTCACATTTATTTAATGTGTGTGAGTCAGAGACTCACAGTGTAACTGTGCAGAATGAAAGTCCTATTCCCATATCTCCTATAGGTGCCTATAAAAGTATAGAGATCATATACTGTACGAGAATTTCCCCCATCTGGTTCAGTACTGAAAAAAATAAATGGGAGGAAAGAAAAGTAGATAACTCATGGACCAATTAATAGAAATGTGCCCCCCCCCCCGGTGTTATCAAAGATACAGCAGTGAACATTATATAGCAAAATCGGATACAATGCAAAATATATGCTGAGAAAGCAATGCAAAATAGATTGAAGGCTATGTACATGTGCACCACACTCAAAGCATTTGCAAGGCGTACTAGAAGCTCAAATATATCTGACTTACCTACCTGCCAGCATGCCCAGTGGTCAGGGGTGATGGGACTCATAGGCCAGCAATACCTAGAGAGCTACAGGTAAGCCACCCCTGATTTAGTAGTTGTGCATACACTTTGCATGCAGGGAGTTTCTGGTATGTGTCGGAAAGGATCTGTAATGGTGTATGGGCAATCTATCCAGAAGATAAATTTTATTTTGAAGAGTTAGTGATCTGACATGGTTGCCCTCTTCCTGCTTTTCTTCCTGCCCCCTCTCCTTGTCTCTTAAGTTCTTTGATGGCATGAGAACAGCCTATAATGTCCTAATCAGTTAGGAGGAAGTAATAGTGGTGAGTACCTTATTCTATGTTGGACATTATTTCGAGAAAGTGAGGCATTGGGAGGGGGTGGCTAATGAATAATCTGCATGCAGCCAGTAATGAAGGATCTGCAAGTAGCCAGTTGGATAAGCCACACAAGCTAGCTAGCTATAAATCAGATGGTTTGGGGCAGAATTGGGAGAAGCTTGTGCACGGGCTGATGGCTGCGGGGCCGTGCAAACTTAGGCTACCTGGAGGAGTCACTTTGCCACTTCTTGAGGGCTTCCAAATAATAAAAAATAAATTTTATTTATACCCCACCCTCCCCAGCCAAGGCCAGGTTCAGGGCGGCTAACAACCAATAATAAAAAAAGTTGAATGAATACAACTTAAAAACAAGATTAAAATACAACATTAAAACATTAAAACATTAGAATGCAGCTTCATCACAGGAGGAGAAAGGAAAAAAAGAAAGAGGGGGAGGGAATCAAATTGACTCCAAGCCAAAGGCCAGGTGGAAATTAGATCACTGGGGGAGGAAGGTGGTTGCGGAGGGTGCAGTGCACACCAGGTGTCAGCCGTGAGGGTGGGTGACATTGCTGCACCACCCCCTGCTTGCTGCATGGGTGGCAACCCCGGACGCTCATCGCTTTGATTATGAGAGCAAAAAATAAACATCCAGTAGTCTAGATAGAAAGAACTGGGTAGTCAGGCTGATGTTTACTTGGTTGCAGAGGTTTACTGGCCATTGCTGTTGGCATGGAGATAGTCTAGGTTGAATGCAAACAGGCCATTCTGATGTCATGTGTGATGTCACAAAGAGGATCTGCTTTAAGTCTTGGTAAAACCAGAAACAGTTAACAGACTGCAGCTCAGTATTGTCAAGATGGATCTCCATAACAGTTGATGAATAGTTTTATTTGGGGGATATATTAACTTTTACTATTGAGGGAAAGTTTTAGATTGGTTTGCCAGTTTGTACCCCATCAGGTTGAGGCCAATAGATATACATTCACAACCCTGTACCCATCAAATAATCAACTTTATGTGTGACTTTGGGACTGATTCATACAGCCACATTTCCTTTCCCCACTCTATAGCAGCCTTTTCTCTGTATTTGAAAAAATAACCAAGAAGGAGAAGATAAGGAACCAGGATTAGGATTTGGATGAGTAGCAGCTAAGCTTTACAGGTGAGGGGGCTAGGAAGAGGGCTTTGTGGTCCAGCATAGGAATGATGGGTGCTTCATATTATTGAATTCCTGTTCCACAAAGAAGACTTAGAGCTCATTGCTCTCCAACTTTCAAGGCTCGCCAGGTTCTGGGAGATGGAGGGTCTGGTATGCTTTCTAGTGACAACGGGCGACAGGCCGCTAGGAACGATGCTGCCACGAGTTTCTGGCGGTGCCCTCCCCCCCCCGGCCGTTCATTAGGTGGGCGGGTAGCAGCGCCCCTCCTGGCGCTCATCATGCAAGCAGCAGGCGTCTAGCCCCAGCCCACGGGCCGGCTAGCCCCACCCCTGTGCCGCTCTGGGTGCTGGGGCAGGTATCTCTGCCCTTGTCCAAATGGCAGATTGAAGTGCTTGCTTGGTATGTATATAATGGTTTGCTGCTTAGAATAACATCTTTAATCTTCTCACTCACTTGTGTTTTATATTACTTCTGAATCTCTTTTTAAAAGAACCACCTTGCATTTGGCAAGACAAAGGGTATGCTAAGGAAGACCTCCGTCTGTGGCTTTGGACAACCATCTGCCCGATTTCATTTCATTGATTTCATTGATTCAGCCAGCGTGGTGTAATAGTAAAGAGCGGTGGACTTGTAATCTGGTGAACCGGGTTTGATTCTCTGCTCCTCCACATGCAGCTGCTGGGTGACCTTGGGCAAGTCATACTTCTTCTGAAGTCTCTTAGCCTCACTCACCTCACAGGGTGTTTGTTGTGGGGGAGGAAGGGAAAGGAGATTGTTAGCTGCATGGATCTGCCTCTAGGTTTGTGGCTTAGCTGTTCTCTTTCAGAGATACCATTTGATTTATTTGGTCAATGTGGTCCCAGTTTTAAGCAGCCATGGCCATGCACTTCATTGCAATGTCACTGGGACAATCACATGTGGCCTTTACCTGTAAGGTCGACGCTCATGCAGAGAAGCATCTCTGCAGCAGTGCTGCCAAAGAGCAAACTTGGTGGTAGTCTTGTGTGATTCCAGCCGCTTGCAAATGAGCTGCCAACTAGTTTCAACTGGCCCTCCGGCTATTTTAATGACATCCAGCCAAGCATTTTAAGATTTCCACACAGTGGCAGCAATTAGCAGTGACTCCAAATTGATAATGGATGGTTTCAAACATGCACTCCCTAATAATAAATAATAACATTTTGCCTTCTTGTGTGCTTTACATTTCTCTCCTCATGCCCAACGTTCCCTTTGTGCATGTGATAATTTATTGCATATTTCAAAACATTCAAATTTCATCTCTCTTGAAATCAGTCCCAGAGCAATAATAAAAAAAAAAAGGTTCCATTTTTATGCGTAAAATACATGCAGCAATGAAAGGCATGTTATGAATCCAGGAGGTTGGAAACCAGGAGATAATGAGATCTTGGGTAGAAACAACAAGAGCTAAAGGGGATCCGTGCATCTAGGAGTAATGAAATTAATCGTATTGCACAGAAACTTGGAGAAAATTGCCACAAACAGATCCAAGAGACATTGACTTTAAGCAGAGAGGTCTCAAACTTTGTTGCAGCAAGATGCTTTAAGAGGGGGAAATGCACTTTTTCCTAAGCCAATTGTAAATAAAGGAAGACAAGAAAAAGCAACAACGATTTCTTTTGGCAGATGGGAATCTATTACCAGGAATAGAGCCAGACCAATAAAGCTCCAAAATGATGGGCCAAAACAAAATGATCAGCCAGGACCAGAAGGATGGTCGCCAAAATGCCCGGAGTAACAACTGAATGGGTAAATTTAATCCTCGGCATCTCCCGAAGAGGCCAAATAGATACAAAATAGAGATCCTCACCCGTCAAAAGTAGAAAATAACTAATTTCAGAGAAGAGTAGAAGGGTGTAATGTTTTAGACATAGGCATTAGAAGGACAGGATTAGAAATTTATATATTTCTGAGTCTGGACTCAGCTACCTTAGTCAAAAAACAACATTTAAATATGCAACACCAGATGCCGCTGTAGAGCAAAAAACATTTTATGTGATTTTACATAGAGTTTTTTCTTTTGTTATAACGATTTAATTAATGACTTATTTATAGTGTCGTCGTCCCCCCCCCCCCCCGTGTATAGATCCAGCCTCTGTCTCTTTATGTGTGTCTCATTTTCCTCTCTCTCTCTCTCTCTCTCTCTCATATATCCTGTCTCTTTGAGAACATGTGTGCAAGGCAAGAACATGGTATCTAGCAGAGCAGTCTATCATGGGAAAGGGGATCTATAATGGGGCCATTTTGTCCTTAATTCAATAAAGAATTTAAGACTAAGCACTCTCAGAATCCTCTTTCTAGGTGTGACGCACCTCCTGGCTTGAAGTGGTATCTCTTTATATATTTTTTAAAACCTCAACAGAAGACTGAGCTTCTAATACTGTACATCGTAACTCACCGGTGGGATAGGAAATAAAACAAAAGCCTATAGGAAATAAGTTGTGGATTTGTATAGCTAAGCAGCATTCAGCTGGTTTATATTGTAAATTTCCAATGTTGTTTTATCTCCTTGCTATGTTCATACACAGATATTACTTTTTTATGTCCCCCATACTTTATTGTTTGCTTTTTTTCATTACTAAAGATTTCTGTGGAAGATTTGATAAAATTCTCTGCTGCTTTTTTTTATAATAAAATATCTGCCTGTGGTTTTAAGATTACATTTAATACTTATTTCCTTGTGCTGTTTATTGAATATATCCAAACTCACTTGGAAGTGGGAAAATGGAAGCATTTGATATGAGAAATCTCATAGTAAGAGAGCACTCAAAACATTGTAAATAAATAGGCCACACGGCCGATCGCTTTGCTGTTGGCTCCATATTTGTAGTGTGTTATACAGATTGTCATCGTTGAGTGTCAGAATATACCCCCCCCCCCGATGCAGCTTTAAAATCATGTCACAGGCTCAAACGTTCACATAGTGGGGCACAATTTGAGCAGTGATTTTTGCAGCTGAGAAGACAATGCAGTGCAAATGACCCAAAACATTATTGTGCGATGTCAGTTGCCTTTGCAAAAGAAATATCCCCGGAGCACTGTACCCATTGTTCATGCATTGTTATTAAAACTAAAACTGAACGGAAGACTGCAACAAATAAGTGCATGCACGTGTGAGCGCACATGCGCAGAGCTTGAAGGAAGTACACAGGCACATCTGTCAGAAGTCCCAGTTCCCGTCTTGATAACACAGCAAGCATAGTTAATTAAAAAGGAAGATTTAATACAAAAACAAACAGAGTTCTCCGGATGGCTCTAACAAGCCACCAGTCTCATCAATCATGATGACCCTTCTGAAGACTCCTTCCGGTTACAGAAGATACTGAACTTTTTCACTTTGCGCCTTTTGCCTTGTTCCATGGTGCATGGAAAGTACTATACTGGAAAAGGTGCTATGAACGGGAATACTCAACACAGTGACATTTTATTTAATGTCTCACTTCTTGCAATCTATTTTGCATACCTCCTTTGAAAAATGTGTGTCCTAGTTAAGCTAGGGTTGATATTTGAAATGGATGGTGGTGATCAATTTTTGTCCACCAACCTAAATTCCAATATCTGAATTTTCAAAGAGAGATTCATAGCCCTAAACATTTTGCGAATCTTTGTACTTTTGTCCATTTAGTGTATTTATTTTTCCCAATTTGAACTATAAAATGGTGATTTTTCTTGAGTCAAATGAGAGTACCCCTAAACATTTTTTAGAAAAAAGCACTGACTCTAATGAACTTTGGACATGGATGTTAGCTGCAGCTAGGATTTCAATAACCCAGCAATGGAAAATCTAGAGGCTCCAGAATGCTTTTATGTCATCTGATGGGGTCTTATGTCATCTGGTGGGGTCTTATTTCCATTTTTTTAAAAACTTTGCTGCTGATTGCTCACCATCCATGCCAGTTCGGAAAATAAGGATTTCTTTATTTAAGTTGATGTGCCACCATTTTCCCCCTCTTATTACCTTTCATCTATTTCCTTTTTATATGGTACTATGTAAAATCCTGCTACCACACTTTTGGGTTGTTAGTAATAGTCATTAGGTTGCAATGCAATTTAGAAAGGACAAAAATGAAGAGGAAGGGGAAAGCTGTCTTCAGCATAACAGCAGAAAGGTCAAATATAAATCTAACAAACAAATGATAGAGTATTATCTTAAATATGTGCAGCAGTGTTCATTTTGAGGTCTCCGATTTTACTCTTGATATCCCTCCTCACAGAAATACCACATACGGTACATTTTCCATGTCCTTCCCTTTTCACAAAATTATTATCCTAAATGTGTGTAGAAACATAAGAAAGGCCTTGCTGCAGCCGACAAAAACTTCATTTGGGTCAGAATCACTCTTTTACTGTGGATAACCAGATGGCCATGGGAAGCCCACAAGTTAATAATAATAATAATAATAATAATAATAATAATAATAATAATTTGTACCCCACCCATTTTGCTGGGTTTCCTCAGCCACTCTGGGTGGCTCCCAACAGAATGGTGGTGTTGATGACGTTGTTGTTATCATTATTATTATTAAAGCGATAAAACATCAAAGATGAAAAAATTCCCTAAACAGGGCTGCAACAGTACTCTTCCATCTTCAGCTCCCCAGCAAATGCATTTCAAAATTATCAAAGGGGAAATTAAATTGTTGCAGAAAATGGTTCCCTTAAACAAAATAAGTGGGTCTGCCAAGGTCGGGCACCAATTAACAATTAACAACAACAACAAGGCCTAGAACTTGGGTCTCTTGTCATCACTATTTGCCTCAGTTCCTCAGACTTCACCCTGATAAAATTAGTTCAGGCAAGTGGATCTTCCCTACATGTTCCACTTGGAAGAAAGGGGGCATCAAATTCAATCAGCTTCTCTAAGTCTCCTGCACTAAATTTCATTTTGATACCTCATTGTCCAACACTAACTGTTATGGACAGTCTAAAAACATAAGAAGAGCCTGCTGGGTCAGGCCAATGGCCAATCCAAATGAGGATCCACTTTTCACAGTGGCCAACCAAATGTCTGCGGGAAACTTTAAAGCAGGATCTGAGCACAAGATCATTTTCTTCCTTTTGTAGTTTCCAGCTGCTGGTCTTCAGAAGCATTATGAGCCTAACCATCATGGATGGGAGCCATTCATAGCCTTTGCTGTCATGACTTCATTAATTCTTTTTTATGCATGAATTAGGCCCAAGTTTTGGGTTCAGCTTAGCATTGTTCATGCCTGTCAATGATGAGTATTAAGTTTAGAATGGATGGTGCACCGAGTCATCTAAGGAATGATATAAATACACCTATGACAGAAAACAGAATTTCCCTTCCTCCTGGATTATGCAGTGACGTCTATATGAGCGGATTTTAAATATTCAAATGTTTCTTTGATTTACTGCTTTCTGAACTTTTTAAAATGAAATATGAATGTGCTTTTATCTGTCACCCCAATAGTGTCAACATTTATTTTTGATATTTATTTACATCAATATTTCTATTCTTCCTTGGATAACATTTCACTGCCTTTTGTTGTTTATAGACCCTTCTTTGAACAAGGATTGCATCTGTTGGAACTCACAATAAGTTATATATCAGGATTGGACATAAAACGAGTCCTCTCAATCCTTCAGCCATTAACTTTGTCTACATCAGGCTTCCTCAACCTCGGCCCTTCAGATTTCTTTTGGCCTACAACTCCCATGATCCCTAGCTAGCAGGACCAGTGGTCAGGGATGATGGGAATTGTAGTCTCAAAACATCTGGAGGACTGAGGTTGAGGAAACCTGGTCTATACCTATTTTCATATTGTTTCTTATCTAATACTGCTGCTCAACATATTTTGCAGCCATACAGGGGAAACTCTAACTGGAGTTGGTGTAACAAGTAGGCCTGGATTGAGTCTGGTGCCATCAAGTAATGACAGTAATGCCAGCTTGGGATCTGGTGGGTCTCTGGTTGATTCAACACCTCCCCTGCCTATGGAACACCCCATTTGGGAAAATTATGTGGGGTACTGCCAATGAGAATTGTGTTTGTGGCTGAAATAGAGAGTTCTTCGCAGGAGGTGTGATGTTGGCATCCCTCTACAGGTGGAGAGTGGTGGACCTGTTTTGGTCCACCCTGAGGGACATGTGTGCCTCATCCAGCCCTGCCTCTGATGCATAATAGAGAAGAACTTTGAATGCAGCTTAACACTGTTAGATGCAATTTCTTTTGAAATACGTCTTATTTTGATTTCCTTCCAGCTAATGCCAAAATTAGTGTTTGCTCTCATGTTTCGGGTTGTTTTTTTTGTTGTTGTTTCTAAAATGTGTTCTGTTTTGCAAAGAAGAACTGTTTTGCTAAAGGCATTACAGTAGATATTACAACTAATAGTGAAATGGCTTTCTTATTAATTCTGAGATGTCCTCATTACATTTCCTGGATATTTAAAAGGCAGCGAGGGATTTCATTATGCAGACGGAGCTTCTAGCTGCTCAGGTGATGGTTCTTTGAATTAGATATTTGAATTTTGTTTGGGGAGTTGAATAATGTGTCTTACCCTTCTAATTATATACCAATAAATCAAGCCTGGCAGATTCTCAATTCTTGTCATGTCAGGAACAATTCTGGAAAATATTAAGGGAGAAAGGCAAATATCTCGGCACTTCTTTAGTGATTTAGAAAGAGTGAAAACAAGATATAATTCCTCACTGCATGTTTTTATTAATATGTGTTTTTTTCTGTGCTGTTCACCAATTTAGGACATGAGATTTGACTTTCACTTGTGCACTGTGCTGACATAACCCTACCCATCAGCATCATGGTAGCTGACTGCTGCCAAATCCCAGACAACCTGTGAGCTGGAGTCTGCAATCATGTATCCACTCCTACAGGAAGATATGGCCCTCTAGATTGGTATTGAATGGCAACTTCGATCAGTTCCAGCTAGTAAGGGAAATGGTCAAGGATGGAGGACGGTGGAGCCCAGCAACACCTAGAGGGACTCAGGTGTGGTTATGTGGGATGGATAGTAGGATAGATTGATTAAATATTATCCTTCCTTCACTCACGCTAGTGAGTCATGTAGCAAAGCAGATTCCCCTCAATACAGCAGGAAGCTAGTTTGCAGATTCATTCGAATCTCTTTACTTAAGCAATCCAGTCTGGCTTGATGAGAATGGATTATTCCTGGTGTCCCCTTTAATCCCTCTTAAAAGAATAAAGACAGAAGAGTCTTTCCTTAAAAGTAACAAGAAGTTTACTCACATTCAGTTCTCACAGTATGACCCCTGAAGGCAGACTTTAGCTTGTAGTTACACAACATAGTGTAAGTTCATCCCTTATGGGGATTGAGCCCATGTACTGCTGGAATACATTAAGAGAACAGCATCAAGAGAACAAAATGGCTGCAGGAGAGCAACATGGCATCAAGAGAGAAAGATGGCTGTGCTCTTTTATGGAGTCAGCCAGGGTCACACCCATCCCCCTGGTCACATGCAGGGGGAGGACACTCCAGACCAGTGGAACAGGAAGCTATACTGACTGGAGTAACATCCCCATGCCTGTGCCCACTCTAGGGAAACAAGGAATGTTGTATTTGACTGCTCCAATGGATTACAGCCCACATCAGGTTCTCCACCTGTGCATTCCTTGTGGGATAAATCAGCCTCGTATAACCAACATACTTCACTCTAATTCATGCATGGAGGAGTTAAGACCATAGAGCAAGTGTCCTGCCAAGGCTTAGCTAGATCACTTCTCCTCAGCTTGGGAAGAAGGGTTACCAAGCACATTGTCTTCTCCCTTCCACCATGTGAATTCTACCAGTGAGGAGGTCTAAGCTGGATGCTGCATATGGTTTAAGCAAGCCATATTTGTGTTTCCATGCAAATAATCCAGAAATGTGTTTTGGAACCTAAGTTATAGTGCCTATCTTTTCTTGCTGTATGGAAAAGGGCATGGATCTAAAAAGACACGAATCTGACTACTGAAGAGGTTGTAAGTAAACAATTTTAACTTACCAAACAGGTAACTATTTATAGGGGACTGGGGAACTTCGGAAGACTTTTAAAATGTCCCCTTCTAACAGTCTATATTTCCATGCTTTGCTTTGCTGCATATTTTACAATTTTGAATCTCTGTTGGAGGTCCCTGACCAAAGAGTACTTGCCCCTGAAACTGGATATAGGCATCCAGGGAATTCTTCTTTTATTTTACCATATCTATTTTATCTTTTAACTCAATACTTAAATTCCTACACTCCTAGGATGTGTGTGTGTGTTTGCTGCGCCAACCCGCAGTCAGGCAACAGGATGCTGAAGACAGGACTTGTGAATGCTGGAAATTGAAACTGCCCCTTCCATGTTAATTTCACTTGGCATCAAAGTTGCATTTACTACTGATTTCCTTCCTTTCTTTTTGGCCCCTGATATACCTTCATCTGAGCCCGGTGTACACTGATATTATAGTCAACATTTTCTATATAAGATTTGGCTTTGTATAATGTAAGGAAATACTGTATGTCTGAAAAGCAGGCCTCAAACCAACAATACAAAGGCAACTTCTCCTTCACTTCAATGGTGCAACATGACTGTGAAAGTAAGTGCTCATTGATTTTACAAAATGAACAAAAGCCATTTAAATAGCTTAGATTGAGGTAGGCAGCTTGACATTAAGAAATGCCTCTAACTTATTTCGCTTAATACCAGGGGCATCCTTCAAATGTATAAGTCATGAAAACACAAGACATCCAGAGATCAATATGTAATTGTTTACCATCCTTGAAGGACTGAAGAATTAATTTAATGGTGAATGTTAACATAACGTCAATTGATTCCGTGAAGAAATATTAGAAGGATTTGTGAACTATAGTAACAGAGTTGCACATTTTGGACCACAAGATTTTGGGTGGGTGTTTGTTTTTTGTTTTTTGTTTGCTGTGTGTGTGTTTTAAATCCCCCTTTTTATATATCTATGACTAGCCATAACAATAAAGCTTTATCCAAACTCTTCTAGTCTCCCTTGAAATTACTCAGATGTTTCACCTGATGAAGAACCTGTAAAGTCTGCAAAATTTCATTGGCAACTTGTAATAGGCAGTTGTGGAATGCAGTTTAATATAAGAATCTTGAATGTGGTGCTAAAACAGGTGTTAGCTTGAGAAGAAATTAAGTAAACTGATACTTTTGGCGGTTTTCACAGGATCTACTACAGAAAATTACACAAAGAGGTAACTTAGCCCACAAGACCATATTCTGTTATCTTTCACTGTTTGTGCTCCACTTCCTAGTCCTGTCATGCAAATGTTTGCATGTCCCATTAAAGAGGCAGAAGCATTTGCATGGTCTTCATGTACTCTGCCATTTTCTGCCTATTGTCCTGTCTTTCTCATACCTCCATTGTAATGGTTATACAGCAAACTAAAGTTGGTGACCCTGAACCTATGAAAAGGTGAGTAGCAAATAAAATCCACACGTCTCCTTTCTCATACATTCTCATGTTTTGTGTATGTCAAGTGGGTGTTCATGTTCACAAAAACAAGTGTGAGAGAAACCAATGACCTATAATCTGGAAGCTAAGTTCTCTCTACTGATGTGTTAAGTCTGCTTACATTATTTGGTGGGTGGCATTGTGACTGGGCCCCAAGCCTTGTGTAACCCAGCCGAGGGTTGGAGAAGAAGAAGAAGAAGAGCAGTTTGGATTTGATATCCTGCTTTATCACTACCCAAAGGAGTCTTAAAGCGGCTAACATTCTCCTTTCCCTTCCTCCCCCACAACAAACACTCTGTGAGGTGAGTGGGGCTAAGAGTCTTTGGAGAGGTGTGACTAGCCCAAGGTCACCCAGCAGCTGCATGTGGAGGAGCGGAGACGCGAACCTGGTTCCCGAGATTACGAGACTACTGCTCTTACCCACTACACCACACTGGCTCTCGAGCCGAGGGTTGGAGACTGGCGTGCTTCCCACTGTCACCTCCCTGCACTGTCGGCGCTGGGCGGGGCCCTTGCCAACCAATCAGTGCCAACAGAGGGGTGGTCTGCAGGGAATTTAACCTCCAGTGCAGAAGGGAGGCCATACTCTCACACTGTTCATCAGAACTCCCACACTCCTTACCCTTTTTTCTGCTTTGCTGCGTTACAACCTTTCTATGGACTAATCGTCTGTTGCCATATTGTTGGGACTGGGCAGGATTTTTTTTCCCTTGGCAACTTGGCTCCACCATTTGGTTTTCACCTACCTCATAGCAATCGCCACAACTTTGTGAGGTTAGACATTGTGGAAGCCTTTGTTTGGATGGAGGAGAGTTTGTAGTCTCCACCTGCCCCTCCTCATTAAAGGTATCCTGTTAAAGGGATCCGGGGTTGTGGACCCTGTCCGATGCCCGGACTTGGGCTAGGGCCATGGCATAACCCTAATGGGAACCCCTCAGGGTGCCCCTATTTGATGTAAGGATCTTAGGGCGGCTCCTATTGGTGGTTTACCCTTAGTTGGACTCCCAGCAGGTGGGCAGGAGTCAAGATATAGCCAGGCTTCACCCAATGTCTAAGCCAAACTGCTCACATCTGTAACCAATAAAGTTGTGGCCCATTTGAACCCATAAACTAAAATCTGCTTGTTTGTGTGTTTTATTTATCCACCAGGGGACCACAGGTCACAGGGCCTTGGCACGCAAATGTAACACAGCAAGCAGCTCACAAATAATCAGGTTCTGAGTCTGTTCAGGTGATCACCTTTCACATGGTTAGAGCTGTATGAAGGTGAGAGTGGTATATGATCATTGGCCTTAACCCGTCCATCACATTCCTGTCATTTGGCTCAATCACCTCTGTCGGGTGTCAGAGGGGTAACATCTTCTGCAGGTAGGTTGTTCCACTTGCGTACATTTCCTCCATGGTGTAGATTGTGCGGGCTTCTGAATTGTGTGGGGAGTCTCCATGAGCAGGCTGCCTGCTGTAGACATTGCTCCTCCAAGATATGGAAGGTGTAAGGCTTCGGGGAAGTATCTTCCTCACTTCCTTTGGCCATGGATCAGCAGAACAAAACAAAAATAGTCTCCTACTAGTTAAAGAGAATTTAATGTTCACAGCGAAAGAACAAAGAATCAATTCTTGGAAGAAAGGTGCTCCCGATTAAGGTTTCCACCCACTTCCCCCTGAGCCACCCCCATCACTTCCTCGTCTGGCAACCTGATCTCTCATCCATTTGGCCTTCTGTGTAGCTACCATATCTGCTCTCCTTGACCTTGGACTGAGCGTTTGGACACGTTCCAGCAAAAGGGAGCCTGTTAATTCTCTCTCTCCCTGTTCTTCTCCTAGCTGTTCCCCACTCATTTTTGCCCAACTGTTGTCTTCTGAACTATGTCCCCCTGCAAGCCACTGCTCCAAATCTATACAGCTCCACTTCTCCTGGGCAACTTCAGGATCCTGGTCAGGAGCAGGGGTAGGGGTAGGCCTCATCAGAGGCCTCATCAGAGTAGCTCTTCTCAACCTGGTCTCTGACACATAGGGAGAGGAACTAATGAGTGCGCATTCTCGCTCACACCTTCTGTTTGCAAAGGGTAAAATGCCTGAGTGCAGCTCTGTATGAACATGAGTTGGAACATTGTATGAGTTGGAAAATTGGTTCATTTAGTCCATTGCTAGCTGTACTGACTGACAGCAGAGAACAGTTCTAGCCTTTCTACCGGAGATCATTTTAATTGGAAACGCCAAAGACTGGATGCAGAAATGTGCATTTGCTCTGCCTGAACCGGATCCTTCCCTGACAAATCATGCAATTTCATTTGATTTTTGTAACTCTGTTCAGCTGGGTTGTTTCCAATCAGAAATGTCATGGCCTCTTGTAAATAGTGGAATTAACTAATGCCATGGGCATCCTGAGGTCCGGATGAAAAGTTGACATTGTAAGCCAACTGTGATCTAGCCACTATGTTCATCTATATTTCAGGGGGAGGGTAGAATTTTAAAATTACTTTGTGAGCTATAAATTCAAGGTATTACTCACCAAAGTGAAATCTGAGAACTTCTAAAAAAAGTGGAAATGGCCTGGCAAAACGAAGCTTTTATTGAAAAGGGAGATGTACGACCAAGATATTCATTAACAGGGTGAGGTTTTATGGAGAAGAAATAATGTAGGATCAGAGGGCTGGAAAGCCAATTAGAGAATCCAAGGGTGAAAAGCCAAACCTTGAAGAAAGAAGTGATAATCTTAGTCAGCTAGAGAAAGGATTAGCATGGAGAGGTGATAATAACAGTTTTGTGGCTGAGAAGGGGAAAAAATCTGAACTGAAAAGTGAAGCTCAGAAAAAGGTGGGGGGGAGAAAGATTGGGGGGAAAGTTAGATTGTATTCAGTTTTAATTACTGAATTACTGGGGTGTTCAGAACCCTTTCCTACTTTTCTATCTGCTCAATTCATCATAATTTTCTCGGAAGGAGAGTTTGCAGCTGAGAAGTGGTGCCTCAGATTCAGCCTTTGAGCCTGCAATCATATACTTCAGAGTAAGCCCAATTGAACTCAATGAGTTTTATTTCTGAGTACTCGCGTCCAGGATTGCACTGTATGGCATTTATCTCTGTCCGATTTAAGGACAGCAGGAATCCCATTCTAAGCTCACTTATCTATTTTCCCCTCACTTAATATGTGCATCGAAGCAAGGAAAATGTGGTTTTGTGATTAAAAGTAGGAAGCTTTGTCCCAGAGAGGGTTTTTTGTTCTAATCCTGTCATCTTTTTTAAGGGCTGTGGCAGAGTGGTAGATGCCAGGTTTTGCATGAAGAAAATCGAAGGTTCATTTCTTGGCTCCTTCAGTGCATATAACAAGGCTGAGAGAGTCAACTATCTGAGGCAATGAAGAACTGTTGCCAGTCAGAGTATGCATCCTAGATCCAGGTGCATTCAGAATCAGACAGCTTCATGTACAGGTCAGTCTCAATGCGTGAGTTATAAAAACTGTACAGATGTTCATGCTAGGACGTTTGTAATGATGATAGCTACATCCTCTATTTCAACATACTTTGGTGCACAAGTTGACCTAGAGAAGAAATGTACTCAATATCTACAAGCTAAAAACATAACAGAGCCAGTTGGTTGTCTCTGTGCCCAATCACAGAACCTGCCAATTTTTCCTCAGCCCCACAATTTTGGCGGCGAATTTCCCCCCTCATTAACAGCATTGTCAAACTGTAAATAGCCAGTGTGGTTCAGTTTTTGCATTCTGCTTGTATTCTAATCGATTCACCCATTTGCTTTCCAGAATGTACGGTAGTACCAGCGTTGTGCAATATGTAGATATCTGTGCACAGTGTTGGCGTCTAATTAAAGCCATCTCAAAGGAGGTAGATTTAAAAATGTCTCGTTCCATGTTCTCCAAATTGCCAGTTGCTCCTCCACAAAATAAAATGTCCAGAAGTGGCTTGAAATTAGTACGTTAATCGCTTTTGGATTGTCTACCTAGTGGTGTGGCTCGGTAGGCACTTGTATTGGAAAGATGTTTTGTCTTGCTGAGTTCCACCCATGAAGAGTATGTGGGCGAAATCTTCATTGATTTTTGTTGGGCATTAAGGATTCATAGGACATTGGAAATAACTCTCAGCAATATGCAGGTTTAGGCTCTTAATTAATCAGCACTTCCCCTAGGGCTTCTAGATATAATTGTATATTGTGGTAGTTGAAGACGGGTTGAATTGCACATATCAAGCATTGAATTCATAAACCGTAGTCATAAAGAAGCTGTGCTTCAGTAGCTGGGTTTTATTAAATATAGTAAATATGCTGGAATAGCTGGGACAATGGCTTGATCCAGCACGCTCTTCTTCTGCTTTTAAGTTACAATTATGTTACAAATGTTTTAAAATGTTTTAAATGGTTCTAATTTGGGTTCCTCTGTTTCCTTTTTGTCAGGCTGGTGTTGGTTAAATGTTTAATTGGGGTTGGCGGTTACTTTAATTTGGGTATACAGTGGAACCTTGGGTTGCAAACGTGATCTGTGCGGGAGGCACGTTCACAACCCACAGCGCTGCGTCTGCGCACACCTGGGTCGCGATTCAGTGCTTCTGTGCTTGCGCAAAGTGTGATTTAGCATTTCTGCACATGTGTGAGTGCCAGAACCAAGAGGTAACCCGTTTCAGTACTTCTGGGTTCGGTGCGGTGCGCAACCCAAAAACGCGTAACCTGAAGCGTTTGTAACCTGAGGTACCAATGTAACTGTAAACTGTTGTTACTGTTCTTATTGTTGTTGCTATTGGTTTCTATTGATTTATTGGTTTGTTGCTTGTATAGGATCTTTTGTTTTTAATGTTTGATGTTTGGTTTTTTAAAACAGTGGTACCTCGGCTTTTGAACGTAATCCGTTCTGGAAGACAGTTCGAGTTCCGAAACGTTCAAAAACCAAAAACTCAATACGGAAAACTCAATATGGAAGCCGCGTTTCCTGTTCAACTTTCGAAGCATGTTCGAAAAACGAAGCATTTACTTCCAGGTTTACAGCATTTGAAAGCCGAAGTGTTCGTCAACGGAGACATTCGAAAACTGAGGTACCACTGTATATGTTGCAAGCCGCCCAGAGTGTCTGGGGAAACCCAGCCAGATGGGCGGGATTTAAATTAAAATTTATTTATTTATTATTTTTACAAGTGTTAATTCATGGCAACAATATTGGGCACCAGTTGTTCCTGGCAGTGTATTTTTCTTTCCAGACTGATGCCGACTCTGCACATGATCCAGCCAATGTTAAGCGCCTTCAAGCCATTTTGCTTTTCAGTGCCAGAAATTTAAGCACCTGTTTAGCTCTCCAACCATTTGGAGTACTTGTCCAACTGGTACATAGCTCAGATTTGTGGGCCCTGAGCTGATGTGTTCCTGATGGTCCAGAGTACATTTTTGAGGCATGGCTTCCAAGTATACCCAAGTTTTGCTTTTTTGCAAAAGCTCATCTTTTAAGAAAGTTAAATACTGGCTAAGAATTTAGATTTTACACAACATGCAACTTTATATGAGCACTCTTTTAAAGATACCATAAAATAATTTGCTTGTCCTTGGTTTGCTTAGTGATAATAATTATTATTTTAATAATAATTTTATTATTTATACTCCTCCTATCTGGCTGGGTTTCCCCAGTCACTCTGTGGGCAGCTTCCAGTGACCAATGCATTCTGTACATTTCATTCAAAACCTGAAAGTAACACTGAAATAGCTTGTCACATAGCAGTAAACCTGTTTCTGGTCTGTGCTATTGGAGATTTTTCCTTCCTGTCTTCTGCATGGTCTTTTCAGTTCTGTACGCTGAAAACTGATGAACCTAAGTTAAACATGCCCATTAATATCAATGGGCTTACTCCAAGTATGATTAACCTTGGATATATCCCAGAGGCTTGAATCTTTTACCTGGAAAAGTGGAGCGAATTGCTTTAATCTCTCTGCTTTCTTACAGGCCGGGCAGGGCAGAATGGAGCACCTCTCCTTTTACTTGACACTTTAATGAAGCATCAGCTGAGAGGACAAAGGGCTTGCCCTGCCTGTAAAATACCTGGAACAGACAAACCTGCAAGCAAGGTTTTCTGGAATCCTGCCATCAAAAACACGATACCCTGGTTCATCAGAGGTCGGAATCTTTAAATTTTATATGCAGTATATGAGGCTTCTGTTGTAGATGGGTCAACCGTAGCATAAAGATAGTTTAAATGAAGCAAAGAAAATGTAATCCATGTGAACTGTACTGGCACTGGGCTGGATATTTTGTCTTATTTTACTATCAGTGCTTTGACTAAACAATTTAGTCTTAGCAATGGTGCAATGCCAATTTTAAATGCCCAGCAGACTTTGGATATGAATGCTCTTCTCGGCCCCAAAGAGAAAAAGCTTAAAACTGCCGTAACCGATGAGTGTCTAGCAAAATTATAAGTAATACATTCTGTTATCCAAAGTGAACTCAGGTTGAAGCTTTGCTTTGGGTAGCAAGGCAGAATATCACTGAATGCCTGTTACCCGCACCACTCCTTGTTTGATAAATTTCTCTGTTCCCATCATATTTGCTCTAGTAATCAAAATAATAAAGTTTCCTTCTCTCTTCTACTTGGCTGGATCCAATTGGAGTTGCAACATCTGAATCATTAAGTAGTAGCCAAAGTGAAATATGTTTATAAGGCTTTTTTATTATTATTCAGGTATTAACTAATGGATGCACACCATCAAGCCGCATTATCTTATTTCTGCAGCAAATTGTTTAGGGGGGCTAGGGTGCTTCATGCTCAGCTCAGCATTGACGGAATGTAATGCAATTCAGAATAATGAAGAACCTGGAATGGGAAGCAGAGTCACTTAGAAATGTTACGGGAGAAGCAGCAATGCTAATGCGTGGCTTTTTCATTTGCTTCCGAAAGGCAGCTGAGGGAGGATATATCCTGATGCGGCTCTATTAATGTAGAACATTTTCTCTTGATCTGTAACTACTTCTTAAAAATAGAAAAAGGCAAAATGGAAACTTCAACAGTTATCGCAGAACACAAAGAGCCTCCATTCATCTTTTGATAGAAGTAATGAGCAGCAGGCAGCCGTTAGTCATCCGCTGCAGATTTCCAGTGGAGAGACTCTGATAATTTGATTGCTCATTTTGAAATAGAATTTCTCCCTCTGTCCCTGGAAGGTTTTTCTTTTCTGTGGCAGCTTTGATAGGTAGTTGGTTTCACAGGAAGGAAATGAATAATGACTCACAGAAGCCTCCTTGTCAGGCTTGCCATGTTTCCAGTCTCCCCTAGAGTCATCCAGAGAATTAGAAGCCCAAACCTGCATACCTGCAGGACACTAAGAAAGCAAAGAAGAAGGAGCTCAATGTGCTCCACCTGAGTTACTTTCAGGCCTCGGAGTGGGGGTGGTTGGTCTCTAGTTTGTAGTAACAGATGTAGCCTCAAGAAGCTGCATAAGCCAGAAATGTGAAACACCCCAATGTTGTTGGCCTTACCCAAACTCCTCTGACTTCCCTTAAAACTACAGTGGTACCTTGGTTCTCAAACTTAATCTGTTCCAGAAGTCCATTCCAAAACCAAAGTGTTCCAAAACCAAGGTGCACTTTCCCATAGAATGTAATGCACAACGGATTAATCCATTCCAGACTTTTAAAAACAACCCCTAAAACAGCAATTTAACATGAATTTTACTATCTAACGAGACCATTGATCCATAAAATGAAAGCAATAGTCAATGTACTGTACTATAAAATAAATAAGACAGTATTGTAGATGATAAAAAATAAAATTAATTCTTTTCCTTACCTGCACTGATGATAGTCATTGTTTGGATATGGGGCTTTTATCCACTTCTGCAGTCACACAATCCATCCATCCATCCATCCATCCATCCATCAATCAGTAGCTGAACTGGGTTCCACACAATCACAAAAACAAATTAACCAGAAAAGCAAAAAATGCAAAATAAATAGCAAAAACAAAAGCCCCAAACTTAATACGTTCCAGAACTTCTGAAATGTTCGAAAACCAAGGTGTGGCATCTGATTGGTGCAGGTGCCCCAGAAACAATAGCCAACAGCCGCATCGGATGTTCGGCTTCCAAAAATTGTTCAAAAACTAGAACACTTACTTCCAAGTTTTCTGCTTTTGGGAACCAAGGCGTTTGAAAGTCAAGGTACCACTGTACTCAAAAGCTTTTCCTAAGCAGGAAGCTCAAAACTCACCTCTTCCTCAAATCCCACTTTGAGTAACATTTTAGTGGCAATCTACAGCAGCATAACATAGTTGCTCACATGACTGAAACATTGAAACTCCCTTGAGCATGTTTCTAAAGGTATTTATATTTTTTTGTTTCAGGTCAAATTTAGTAGCAACTATGAAGGCCACTGTCATCACTTCCGACCATCCCTTACATAGATACTTGGTCAGGAAAAGAGCAGTAACTTTGTGGTCAAACCCATGTCCCAGATTCCATCTCTCTTGTACATCTTATCAGGAAGAATCTTTGCTCTTTAAAAAAAATATTTGCTTGTATTTAATGTTTCTCTGTTTAAGTTGTTTTGTGTTCACCTTTCTGAAATAACACCATGGTCATCATCACAGATGACCTCCACTCCACCTCCTTTTAGATCTCCACTCCACCTCCTTTTAGACAAACCAACAAGTGTTTGTTTAGATCTGCAAACATACCTGGTTTATGGTGACCAGTTACACATTGCCGAGAGACCATCCTGCATAAAATTTGCATATAGTAATTTATATGCCTGTCTAAATTTTTGCCTACAGTTAACTCACATTGTATTTTATACATCCCACCATAGCAGGGTGTCTTGCCAAACGCAAGGTGGTTCTTTTAAAATGAGATTCAGAAGTAATACAAAACACAAGTGAGTGAGAAGATTAAAGATTTTATTATAAACAGCCAGCAATATATACATACCAAGCAAGCACCTCAAGCTGCTACTTGGAAGCCCTCAAGAAGTGGCGAAGTGACTCCCTCAGATAGTCTCAGTCCATGCACAAACCTCTCCCTAACACTACGCCCACAAACATCCGATTTATAGATAGCTAACCTTTGTGGTTTGCTGACTGACTATGCACAGATTATTCATTAGCCACCCCTTCCCAATGCCTCACTTTTTCAAAACAATGTCCAACATCAAAGAAGGTACGCCTCATTATCACTTCCTTCCAACAGATTAGGACATTAAAGGCTGTTCTCATGCCATCAAACAGCTGAACAAAAGATAGGGAAAAGGAAGGAACAAGGGGCAGGAAGGATAACCATGTCACATTGCTAACTCCTTGAAATACAAAAATCTTCCGGATAGATTGCCCATACACTGGGAAAACACCTTTTGACTTGCATGCCTGTTCAATGTGCTGACTAGGTACTGCAACTTTGAGTTTCCTACCTTCTATTTTTATGGTTCCTTGGCATTAAAGCAGACTTGGTAGCCCTCAAACAGAGGACCCCTACAAATAAGCTACTGTCCTCTGACAGTCCTTCAAAATTGAGGGCTGTCCTTTGTAAAGTAGGACACGTGATTACTCTGTTGTTTTTGTCCCTACTAAGTTAGATGGCACCTTCCTAGGATTCATTGCTGCTTTCTCTCTGGTATGAGATAATTATTTCCCATATAAAGCCACAGTTTGAGAACTCAAACTTTGGGGACAGAATCTCCACCATCTTTTGCCCTGAGCTACAATTAAGCTTTGATTAACAATGTTAAATAGTATGCCATTATTGCAGAGGCATTAAGAATCTTCTATCTACCAACCCCTGTTTTTGTTTTCCATAACCTGAAAAGAACCCAGAGATTACACTAGTCAGAAGACTCTTCCCCTTCCCCAGCTCTCCACAAGATATCCCTAGTCCTGGTTTTCCAGCCCTACACTCAGGTGTGCAACATACCTGTGTGTGTGTCTCCCAGAAGTCCACTTCTTCACCCTCCTGAATCCCTGTGCATGTTTCACTGCCTTTTGGTCATCCATTTTCTAAGCTGTGTTGCAGTTGGAATAAATGTCGATGTTCTATTATGATTTTAGATTAGGGCTGTCATACTTCCGGATTTTCCCAGACATTATTGGGGGGCGAGATTTCCAAAAGGTGGCAAGTCAAAGGAAAAAGTTCAACAATTTTTGGAGTGTCCTGGTTTTTGCTTCTTGAAATATGGCAACCCTGCTAGAGGTAGGCTGAAAAACTGAGAAGGAAACAATATTTCAGTTTGTTGTCAGTTCATCTGAGTCCCAAGAAGATATCAGGGTTGCTTCAAGCTCTTCCTAAATTTTGGGATCTTCCTAAAAAAAAAAGCTGAACAACTGGTGTCCTGGTTTTTCTTTTTGAAATATGGCAACCCTATTTTAGAGGATCTTTCTGGTTTTAGACAAGAGTTCCTGAGAGGTGAATTACAAAAGTATGTATGTCCCCATGACGCACATTTAGAAGAGAATTTTAGAATATCTGTTGCACTGCAGCTGTACTCTTTTTTGTTGTTGTTCCTCAATTCTCCGCTGGTGCTACAACCAAGCCTAACCATCCTATGCCTCTTAGAAATAATTCTCCCTTTAATCAATGTGGTTTGTTCCTAAGTATGTATGTTTGGAACTGCAGCCTAAGGCTGTAATCCTATGCATGCTTGCCTGAGGGTGAGCCTCATTGAACTCAGTTGGATTTATTTATGGCCAGACTTTCATGGTTTGCACTGTTAAGTCTCTCCTCTAGGTCTGGAGTTATGGCTGTGGGTGTATTCCTGTTAAGAGAGGATTCATAGCAGTCAAGCAAGCTGTAGCTAAGAGACTTTATTTTATGTTGCTGCTTCCTTCTAATGCCTGCTCTATTCTTCATGTGGTAGGAAGAACGTGAAGTGCTCCTAAATATTTCTGTTTCAGGCTTCCTGGACTCTTCCCATTCACCATACTCCCAGCACCTCTTTACATCAGCCTTGTTTGATTCATCGCGAGGACCAGTGGAATAAATTACAGTGGTACCTTGGGATAAGAACTAAATTCATTCTGGAGGTCCGTTCTTAACCTGAAACTGTTCATAACCTGAGGTACCACTTTAGCTAATGGGGCCTCCCACGGCCGCCACACTGCTGCTGCACGATTTCTGTTCTCATCCTGAAGCAAAGTTCTTAACCTGAGGTCATTTTCTGGGTTAGCGGAGTCTGTAACCTGAAACGTCTGTAAAATGAAGCATCTGTAACCCGAGGTACCACTGTACGTGAAATCTCAAGGTCTTTTATTCTCTTCAGGAGCTTCTAGATGGGAATTGATGTTTTAAATGGGTGGTTGAGATATCCTAGATGGGTCATGGGCAACGTTTTTTTTGTTGTTTTTTTTAAAGATTTTTTTTACAAAATCTTCTTGGATTTTCCGTGCAAAGGGTATGTCTGAATTAAATGGCAGAGGGAGGATGCAAGATGGCACTATGATCCCAACAATATTGTGTGGTCATGGGGGCATGAAAAGTCCTGGTTGCTGAATAAAACAACCATCTGTAAGCACCCTAATTATTTGCATTTGTGCCTAACAGCAATAAACCTTGCGGATTGTTTTGTGACTACCACAAAGCAGGCATTTGGGGTAGATATCTCAGGATGGAGATTTGTATAACGTTTGCATATTCTAACCTAGATGTGGAGATGCAAATTTAGAAATCCTTGCTATAATTTAACTGTAAATACAATACAGTCTCACCCCAGGGGGGAGTCTGTCAACATGTGACCAGTCAAACTGTTGATGGACAACTTCAAAGTCCCTTCTGATCTCCCTTTTATGGGTCTTTGGCATCAAGCTGGATCAGACAACACTTCAGGCAGAGGACTGTTGTCTGTAAGGTAGGGCCCATGTTGTGTTTTCTTTAACAATCTGCCAGTTTTAAATCAGCTGTTCACTTTTGTACTTGCCGTTAAAATAATGTGGCATTTGTTGAATCCGTATAACTAAAATGCAAACGAAGCAGGTGCGTTTCAACAGCATGGAGGATTCCTTTATCAACCCACTTCCCTCTGCTTCCTAACAGTAACAAAGATGTGATTCTCCATGAACAGCACTGGGGAAGCGACACTTGATTTCTGGATTTTAAAAAAGCACTGGCAATCATACAGCACAATGTGGCATTGCTCAGCACAGATGGCAAACGAACAAAACTGGAAAGGGAAATTTTTTTTTCCTGGAAAAGGGTGTCAATATATGTGTGTGTGTGTGTGTGTGTGTGTGTGTGTGAATGGGGTGTTAGGGGAGGGGCAGTACCTCTGGCAGGGGACATGCTGTGCTCCTTCTATTGTAGTTTGTCCACCTTTGATCCCCACCCTGTGCTCAGCTCTCACCTGTGGCTCCTAGAAGCTGTCAGCATGTGACAGTGGCCACTCCCAGGGAATGGCATCAACTGGTTGGCTAAACCAGGTGAGGGTACCCTCGGTGAGTTAGGGACTTCCTTGCATGTGGAGACAGGATTCAGCAGATTAAGCAGACCAGACCAAGAGTGGGTTCAATGGTCAAGGAGGTGGTTTCTGCATGTGCTGTAGAGGAAAGTGAGCGGCAGATGGATCTCACCAACTTGGGAAGGTAGCTCATCTAGGAAAAAGTCTGATCCTAAGCCTCCGCTGCCTTGAGGGATATCTTCAAGAGAAGAGAAGACTAAGGAGTAAACCCTACACAAATCCAGAGTGGGATACCTAAGATGGTTGGATGGCATCTGCAACACCTCCTTCTAGCAACACGTGCAGCCAAGCTGGTGCCGAACATATTGCTTTCCATTCCTCTGAATCTCATCAGCTTATATTAGCTTTGTTGGATATTCATGTTAAAATACGCAGCACCTGGTCTCTCAACAGAGGTTTGTTTGAGAGCAAAGTTCCTTTGTTCATGGTTGGACCACTCTTGGTGTCTCTCTGCTGCAAGCTACAGCTTGATAGTGCACAGCAATGAACTGCTAGCATATTTGCAAAACTAAGCAGGGTCCGGTGTGATTTCAAATTGGATGGGGAACCATGTGTTGAGATTCCTACATTATGGAGGGTTGGGCTCTATGACCCTCTGGGTCCCTTCCAACTCCATGATTCTATGATTAAACTGAATCAAATGGTCCATAAGGATCTGGTGGAGTTATGGAATCTGAGCACTGCCTAATCACATATCCCCTATAGTGTGGATAAATGGTTAGACAACAAATAGGTTTGTGCTTTCTTAATCGGATCTAACTCCTAGATTAAATAACCAGTTCCTCTTGCCTTACCCTATATAGAAGGATATAGACTGTACAGCAGTACATTTCATCACCTCATTTGGCATTCCTTCTTTGGATGGAATGGCATTATATAATTTGTGATGACTTTGTTCTGACATCGAGTCTTCATAAAGGATGGATGGCCCAGAGTCACGGAAGTGTCACCTGTAATAAATTCTAGCTTGGCTTTAATCTTTTCCTCACTTGAGGTAACATCAAAGAAGAATATCATAGACTGCAAGATGCTT